ATACTTTGTCAAATGCCTTTGTGTAGTCTAAAAAACACTGGTGCATGTTCTTCTGCTTTTGTATTGCTCTTTCTGCTAACATTTTGTGCATGAATATCATGTTCTTTGTTCCTGTGTTTTTAACGAACATGCACTGTTCTTGTCCATCTCTGGCCAGATTCTGCTGTGCACTCTATTCATCAGAATTTGGATGATGAGTTTTGTTATATGGCTCAATAGGCTGATTGTTCGGTAGACTTCACAATTGTTTGTGCCTGGTTTCTTAGGTAGTGCTATGAAAATAGATCTGCTTAGATATTCCAGTATATACCCACTGTTGTACATTTCATTTATTATTTCCGTAATCTTCCCTATGGCAAAATCATCTAAAGCTGTCAGTATCTCTGTTGCGATTCTGTCTGGCCCTGCTGCCTTGTTTCTGTTCAATTTGGCCAGTGCAGCTTCTATTTCGATTCTCAGAATTTAAGGCCAACGGGTAATTCTGTGTATTGCCAGTTGTTCTCTTTTGTCATTGAAGAGTTCTCCAATATATTTGTTCCAGTGCTGAAGAATTTTTTCCTTTTCTAATATGTGTGTTCCATTCTTGGATTTTATGCAACCTGTTGATGAGCAAGTCTTCTGTCCTGTTAGCTCCCTTATTTATTTATGCATATCTACTTTGTTGGTGATACTCAATCTCTCTATTTCTGAACATTTTTCATTTAGCCACTCTTCTTTAGCCTGCTTGCATTTGGTCCTTATTTTGTTGTGTACTTTTCTGTATTCCATTCTGTATCTTGGCAAAGTTTTCTGTCTCCTTTGCATCATATTAAGAATCTCAATCCATGATCCATTTGTTTTTTTCTTCTTTGCCCATTCTCTTTTGGGATGATATCGTTTGCTGATATCACTGAAGCCTCTTAGTGTGTGCCATTTTGAGTTTCCATTTCCGTTTTGTACCTCATATCTTCTTTTCACACTGTTCATATGTTTTTCCTTCAGGTTCGGGTCACTCAGGAGTTTGTATAGCAATTTAGGTGCTGCATTAGGCTTCTTCAGTTTCCATAGTTTCACTCTTAGTTTACATATAACAGGGTGATGGTTGCTTCCACAGTTAGCAGTTGGGTAGCTTTTGCAGTGAACCATTGCATTCCTGAATCTTTTGTTGATGGTTATGTAGTCAATTTGGTTTTTAGCTTCTCCTGCTCTCTCCCTGCCTACTTTGGCATTCAGGTCTCCCATAATAATTATGATTTCTTGTAATTTGCAATGAGCCTTGGCATTGTCTAGCATGGAGTAGAAAGAAGCTATTGGGTGTAAAAGAGAATAAGACTTTAGAAGGAACTGGAAATCCAATCCTAAACAGGAAATAAAGGATAAGCCTCTACTCCTGTTCAAAAGACCTGGGAGAAGAGTGATCTGGATGATAGACGAACCTGTCTATTTCTGTAGAAATACATAAATAAAAATATCATGGCGCTTGTGAATTTTTAAGTCAAGTGTATGCCCAACTGTTATATCAATCGTCCCATATGACTGTGAATGCTAGACAGTTTTCTCACTGTGGAAGTTGGGACCTGAGGCAACAGACATGTAGTTCTACAGAAGAATGCTGCCAATAAGGAAGTTTTAAAAAAATGGGAATAAAAAGGACACGTGTACTTAGAAGTAGAAAAAGATAGTTGAAATTTCTAGGACACATAATGATGAAAGGGGGCTTGGAGAATTTGATACTCACAGGATATGTTGAGGAACACAGAACTAGCGATTAACATACATAATAAGCTTTAATGAATGGGTGGCAGAAAAGGAGTGGGAAGGATGGCAAGGGGACAAACATTGCTCAGACCAAAGGATAGGAAGTTGTGGAGAGTCACACCCACATCCTGAAGCAGTACAGCATGTAAGAAGAAGTGACATGTGCCAGGGTTTATGAGCCATGAGGCAGAATGATGGCAGCAAAGTACCAACATCATAGGTTTTCTCTTGGTGTTTTCTTTCTCTAGTTGGCTGAGCTGATTGTTCAAATCTGTATTTCTTTCAGACACGTTTTTTGGAAAGTATTGTAGTTGGACTTGATTGGTTTACTCATCTTGGTTATGCTAATACAAAAATTCATATCATTTTATTTTCATTTAATTATTTTTTTTATTTCATCTTTAAATTCTGTGACATTAAACATTGATACTACTTTTTTAATTAATTGAAAGAAAATGGGTTTGTACTTCACATTACAGTAATATAAATTGTTGATAAGGCAAAAGGAAACCACTAGTTTTTCAAATAATTTCTGGCAATTTATTAATAATAATAATAATAATGATAATAATAAAGCAAAACTGAAAAGGAATCTGTGGTGAACCATATTTGTCTATATCCTTAAGGGACATGACATTTAAAAAAAATATTTTGCTAGGCTATAGCCCTTGTTTTCATACTCATGGGAATGTTTTTATTAAACAATAAAAATTGTTAAATAACAGGGTATCTCTCTAGCCTTGGATAGCAACCAGTCTAAGAATAGCCCAACCCAGAATTTAAAATTGTGGAGAAGGCAAAAGGAAAACACTCTACTTTTTTCTTCAAGAAGTCCTGGCAATTCACAGGTTCAAAGGAAGCCATGGTAGCCATATTCACTGACATCCCATCCTGAATGGTATTTAAAAAAAGAATATTTCTTTAGGCTATAATTCAAAACATTTTTATCAAACACTAATAATAATAAGCCTTGTTATAGGTTATATATAATTTTTTTTTTAAAGTGATGCTTAAAGTATCCAAACACTATAAATTTTTATAAAAAAATATATAAAAAAAATTCAAGTTTAAAATTTCAGCATTCCTTTTCCTTCATATACAGGTGTAGTCTCATGAATGTAAACATTGTTTTAGTCCGATGAGGTCTTAAAGGACAAAACACATCGCATGAATAAATTTTTACACTTTGTCAATGATTTTCATAATATATGATGTCAGAGGCAGATCTTTGTGATAGGACTTCCTTTAATAATATTTTGTTGCCTTATTCCAGATAGAATCTGAATGGTAGTCTGACATGAAAGTGTGTATGAAGCAGAGGTCTGTGATTGAATGTTTACATGATGTTTATCAACACACAGTGGACATTTATGGAGACCAAATAGTGGATGTAAGCACAATATGGTGTTTGGGCATCACTGCTGTGAAAAGAGTTGGTAACCTCTGATGGTGCAGATTTTTATGAATGATGCATGCATGCTCTTGTTCATCACTGGCAAAAATGTGCAGCTGATGGTGACAAATATTTCAAAAAAAGTGTTTTGCCACTGACAAACAACCTATTTCTACTGTAGTTCCATGTCTATTGTAGTTTCCATGGAAATAAATGAGAGGCATTACTTTTGAAGTGTATATTGGGTGTGAAAATTTTTCTTTTTAAAACAGAATGATGTATTCATATTATATTATTATTATTATTTGTTATTTGTCATTATTCTTAAGTTATTAATATAGTTCTTCTTTATTATTCTTATTATATTTTATTCATATTCTTTTGTGTTATTCTTTATTATTTTTATTATTTTTTATAATTCATATTATTCATGTTATTATTCATCATTTTTTTATTATTTATATACTTTGTATTAATATTCTTTATTATGCCTAATTTATTATTCATATTGTTCTTATGTTATTCTTTATTATAATTATTCATATTGATTCATATTGATAATTTTGTATTGTTTCTAGACTCTCTGTGAACTTTGTTTTGTCAAATGTTTGCATTGGAATTGTTAAAATTTATCATGAAATTAAAAAAATATTATGATTAATCAACAAGCAGCATGACTAACTGTACTAATATTTTTTAACCATTACTAACAAACTTAGAATGAAGCACTAAAAATATTCCATATATATTCCTGATTTTCAGGAAATCAATTTGTTTTATGCTGTCATAATGTGCTTTAAAGTGATATCCATGATTGATCTTCCTTAGTCATGATTTCTTGGAATACTTTTGAAAAATTCCAATTTACATTCTGAGTAAGAATTGTGGGTTATATGAAATTCAGCACAGGATTGTTGAAGACTTTTGCTAATCATATAATCTTAGAAGCTGTTTTTTTTTTTCAAAAGAGCATCTTGAAATTCTATGGCTTAATTTTGTTAAATGAACTGGAATTTGTTTTCTAAATTTTCTTCAGATACCATTATAGTTGTTCTTAACTGCTATTTATTTCTGGATTAATAAAATGTCATGCAACAAAGCAGATTTTAACATTTGAGCTTTAAGATCATCATATTGGTCAAATAGAAGCTATGTAGCTTTGGGTCTTTCCTCAAACATTTAATCTCCTTGCAAGAGAGTGTGAGATTCTCTCTCTCCTCATAGATTGGGTGTTTATATAACTTCCCACTATCCAGTTGACTTGTGTGTATGTATATGATATATATATAAGTTCAGCTGGGTTCATTTCCTGGTTTATGTTGGTGTACTCACCAACATCTTTCTAGGTCCAATTCTACACTTTGTGACTTTTGGGTCATCTTTTAAGTTTAACTTTGAGGCTCTTAGGTCTTTTGATGTTTTGAGGTGACACTGAGTAAAAACTTTTGTATCTCTTAGAGAGAACCCAGTACATATTGAGGTCACTACAAATTAATTCTTAGATTGAAGTTCCTTCAAACTTCTGGAATTTACTAGTGTGTATCATTATTATTTACTTGATTTACATGAGGACTATTGTCCTTATATTGTTGTTGTTATATCAACATTTCGGCTGCTGTGCTCTCCAGCCTTCATCATGTGAATCATATATGACAGCTATAAGTTTGGTGTTCTTTGAAAAACCAAAAAAATAGATAAACTGCTGACAAAACTGTTGCATGATGATACTGAATGATATCTAATTTAAACTTCCTCCTAAGAATGAATCTTTGAAGTTGTGCATCCATTTCTTAATTATTAAAAATCCATTATTTTTTGAAAGTTGAATATTATTGCAATATTTATTAAACTCATTCAAATGATGGGTTGTATGTCTTTTGCCTGTGATAGATGCAAGAATGAATGCCATACTCTTTCAGATACTCAAGGAGATGAAGGAGTGGTGTTACAGTCACCTCCTTCAACATATGAGCACGATGAGAGTCACTCAAAAGGAGGGATCCCTTCATATGGCCCGCCTTCCGATTCACCAGACGATGATTTATCTCCTAATCAAACAGGTGATGTCATTTCTCCAGCTGATGCTTGCTATGAGTTTAATACTGCTACACCTGATATTGCTTCCCCTCTATCACCTGAGTTTTCAGGTACGCTAAGTATTTTGTCTACTGATAAGCAACAATTACAGGGTTCTGATATGAGTGGGTCACATACTGAATGTCTAAAAACCACTCATTTAATAACGTCAACTAGTAGTTGTCCTCCAGTTCATGTTACTGAAATTGGGCCAAATACTGACAAATCCAAATTGTCCACTGATCTCAGTCTGCAAAGTAGTGATAAGGATACAGAGTCTTACAGTCAATCACAGTGCCTACCTTGTCCAAAAGAGCTAAAAAGTACAGAAGTAATCAACAATGGGTCAAACTCTTCTGCAGTCTTAGCAGGGGAAAGTTCTGAGAAAAAAAGCACTAATCACAATTCCATGTTGCCTGAAGAAGCTGTTGAAACAAGTTTTGCAGACTTCTGCCAAATGTCAAAAGCCGAAGAGGAGAGTGAGTCTGAGTCTGAAGCTAACTCGGTTATAGAAAGAGACCCTTCATTATTAGGGGCAATGGCCTGTAGTGAAGAGGCACAAACACAGGGTAAAGAAACAGCAGAAGGGAAAGTAAATTTAGAAAATCAAGAAAGGATGCCTACATTTTATACTGATGCATTAGATTTGAAAGGAAATCAAAACGGATCCAGTACAAGAGTAGGTATAAAGAAAGAGGATGAAAAGTCTGAAGCTATGAGCCTGCAGGAGTCTGATTCATCTGCAACTAGCGCATTGGTTGATTCTTCAGGAAGTACTGTTGTTGAAGATAATAAAGCTGATGAAAATACTGACGGTGCTAATGATGACGAAACATTTGAGGATCCAATGGCATCGGTGGAGCCTGAAGAGGCAACATCAAGCCAAATATATACTGGGAGTTTTCCATCTGATAAAAATCTAGAAGCTAAATTAATTCAAGAAAAAATAGAAAACATCATCACTGAAGCTGTAGAAGAGGTAAAAAAAGATAGTCTCCAAAATAAGGAGAGGAAACAATCTCAGGAAGATATTGTTGTTCCACCAGACAAAGAAAGCAATGATGATAATTTGGAACAGTATTACTCATTTGATGATTCACAGAGTGTTGTAAGTGATGACACTTTAGAAATGGTAGATACAAACATAGAAGCCTTAAATGATGATGCTGATGATGAACATGAAGAATCAGTTGATGATTTTGAAAGCAATAAAGAAAAAAGTAATTTAACAGATGAACCAGATATAACATTATGTAAGACAACTGATACAAGAGAAGAAATAAAATCATCTGAGGTTGAAAATACAGCAGCCACGACAGATGTACATCAACTATCAATGGCAGGACCAGTAGATGAAATTCAAGCAGCTGAGGTAGAAACAGCAGTGGAAGATCAAAAATCTGTGGTAGCATCTGAAGAGGAGGGTAAACAAGCTGAAGCTGCACCTGAAGAGGAGAGTACAGCAACTGAGATAGGAACAGTAGAGGAAAGTAAACCAGTCAAGGAAGACACTGCTGAAGAAATTAAATTAGTTGAAGCAGCACATGCAGAGGAAAGTAAACCAGCAGAGGAAAGTAAACCAGCTGGGGCAGCTCCCACAGTGGAAGAAAGTAAACCAGCTGAGGCTACTCCAGCAGAGGAAAGTAAAATTACTGAAGTGGAAATTAAACCAGCTGAAGCTGTTCCCACAGAGGAAAGTAAACCGCCTGAGGCAGCTCCCGCGGAGGAAAGTAAACCGACCGAGGCAGCTCCCGCGGAGGAAAGTAAACCGACCGAGGCAGCTCCTGCAGAGGAAAGTAAACCGACCGAGGAAAGAAAGCTGTCTGAGATTGCTCCTGCAGAGGAAAGTAATCTTGCTGAGATTGCTCCTGTGGAGGAATGTAAACTGTCTGAGGCTGTTCCCACGGAGGAATGTAAACTGGTCAAAGCTGCTCTGGCAGAGGAAAGTAAACCAGCTGAGCCAGTAATTGAAGAGGAAATTAAACTGACGGATGCTGCTCCCACAGAGGAAAGTAAACTGGCTGATGTAGCTCCTGCAGAGGAAATTAAATTGGCTGAGGCTGCTCCTGGAGAGGAGGGAAGTATGCTAGCTGAGACTGCTCCAACAGAGGAAAGTAAGCTGGTAGAAACTGCTCCTGAAGAGAAAAGTAAGCCAGCCGAGGCTGCTTTCGCAGAGGAAAGTAAACTGGCCGAGGCTGTTCCTGCAGAGGAAAGTAAGCCTGTTGAAGATGCTCCCAGACAGGAAATTAAACTAGACAATCCAGTAATTGAAGAGGAGAGTAAACTGGACAAGACTTCTCCTGCAGATGGAAGTAAAGCAACCAAACCAGTCAGTAAAGAGGAAATTAAAGCAGCTGAGCAATTAATTGAAGAGGAGATTAAACCGGCTGAAGCTGCACCTTCAGAGGAAAGTAAACCGGCTGAAGCTGAACCCGCAGAGGAAAGCAAACCAGCCAAGGCTGAACCCACAGAAGAAAGTAAACTGGCCAAGGCTTCTCCCACAGAGGAAAGTAAACCGGCCGAGGCTGTATCCGCAGAGGAAAGTAAACCGTCCGAGGCTGCCCTCACAGAGGAAAATAAACCTGCCAAGGCTGTTCCCACAGAGGAAACTAAACCAGTCGAAACTTCTTCGGCAGAAGAAAGTAGACCAGTACAACCACCAATTGAAGAGGATATTAAACCAGTCGAGGCTGCTCGTCCAGAGGAAAGTAAATCGTCAGAGGCTGCTCCAGCAGAGGAAGGTAAATTGGCCGAGGCTGGTCTTGCAGAGGAAAGTAAACTGGCTGAAGCTGCTTCCGCAGATGAAAGTAACCAGGCCAAGGCCATTACTGGAGATGAAACCAAAGTAGACGAGCCAGTAATTGAAGAGGAATGTAAACTGGCTAGGGCTGGTCAAGCAGAAGAAAGTCAAGCATCTGAGCCAGAAATTGAAGAGGATATTAAACCGGCCAAAGCTGCTCCAGCAGAGGAAAGTAAACGTGCTGAGGCTGCACACGCAGGAGAATGTAAAGCGATTGACGCAGTTCCTGCAGATGATACTAAAGCAGCCGAGCCAGTAATTGAAGAAGATATTAAACTGGCCGAGGCAGCTCCTGCAGAGGAAAGTAAACCAGCCGAAGATGCTCCTGCAGAGGAAAGTAAACCAGCTGAGGCAGTTCCCGCAGATGAAACTAAAGCATCTGAGCCAGTAATTGAAGAGGATATTAAACCAGCTAAGGCTGCTCCTGCTGAGGAAAGTAAAGCATCTGATGCAGTTCCCGCAGATGAAACTAAAACAGCCAAGCCAGATATTGAACAAGAAAGTAAACCTGCCGAGGCTGCCTCTGCAGAGGAAAGTAAACTGGCTGTGGCTGCTCCTGTAGAGGAAAGTAAACCTGCCGAAGCAGTTTCTGCAGATGAAACAAAAGTAGATGAGCGAGTAATTAAAGAGGATATTAAACCAGCCGAGGCTTATCCTGCAGAGCAAAGTAAACTGGCTGACGCAGTACCCACAGATGAAAGTAAAAGAGTTGAGCCAGTTATTGAAGAGGAAATTAAACAGGCTGAGTCTGCTCCTGCAGAGGAAAGTAAAGCATCTGAGGCAGTTATTGAAGAGGAAATTAAACCATCAGACACTGCTCCTGCAGAGGAAAGTGAATCAGCCAAGGCTGCTTCCGCAGACGGAATTACACCGGCCGAGACAGTTTCCACAGATGAAACTAAAGCAGTTGAGCCAGTAATTGAAGAAGATATTAAACCAGCCGATGCTGCACCTGCAGAGGAAAGTAAACCAGCTGAGGCAGTTCCAGCAGATGAAACTAAAGAAGCAGAGCCAGTAATCAAAGAGGAAAGTAAACTGGCTGAAGCTGCTCCTACAGAGGAAAGTGAACCGGCTGAGGCTGCACCTGCAGTGGAAAGTAAACACGCTGAAGCTGCTCCCGCAGAGGAAAGTAAACACGCTGAAGCTTCTCCTGCAGAGGAAACTAAACCTGCTGAAGCTGCTCCCGCAGAGGATAGTAAACCGGGCGAGGCTGCTCCTGCAGAGGAAAGTAAACCGGACGAGGCTGCTCCAGCAGAGGAAAGTAAACTGGTCGAAGCTGCTCCCGCAGAGGAAAGTAAACCAGCTGAGGCTGCTACCGCAGAGGAAAGTAAACCAGCTGAGGCTGCTACCGCAGAGGAAAGTAAACCAGCTGATGCTACTCCCACTGCTCCCACAGAGGAAAGTAAACCGGCTGAGGCTGCACCTGCAGTGGAAAGTAAACCTGCTGAAGCTGCTCCTGCAGAGGAAAGTAAACCGACTGAGGCTGCTCCCGCAGATGAAAGTAAACCGGCTGATGCTACTCCCACTGCTCCCGCAGAGGAAACTAAACCTGCTGAAGCTGCTCCCGCAGAGGAAAGTAAACCGACTGAGGCTGCTCCCGCAGATGAAAGTAAACCGGCTGATGCTACTCCCACTGCTCCCACAGAGGAAAGTAAACCGGCTGAGGCTGCTCCCGCAGAGGAAAGTAAACCTGCTGAAGCTGCTCCCGCAGAGGAAAGTAAACTGGCCGAGGCAGCTCCCGCAGAGGAAAGCAAAGCAGCTGAAGTGGCTACCGCAGAGGAAAATAAACTGTCTGTGGCTGCTCCCGCAGAGGAAAGTAAACTGGATGAGGCAGTACCCGCAGAGGAAAGTAAACCAGCTGAAGCTTCTCCCGCAGTGGAAAGTAAAACCGCTGAAGCTGCTCCCGCAGAGGACAGTAAACCCGATGAAGCTGCTCCCGCAGAGGAAAGTAAACCGACCGAGGCTGCTCCCGCAGAGGAAAGTAAACCGGCTGATGCTACTCCCATGGCTCCCGCAGACGAAAGTAAACTGGCCGAGGCTGCTCCCGCAGAGGAAACTAAACCTGCTGAAGCTGCTCCCGCAGAGGAAAGAAAACCGGCCGAGGCTGCTCCCGCGGAGGAAACTAAACCCGCTGAAGCTGCTCCCGCAGAGGAAAGTAAACCGACCGAGGCTGCTCCCGCAGAGGAAAGTAAACCGGCCGAGGCTGCTCCCACAGAGGAAAGTAAACCAGCTGAAGCTGCTCCCACAGAGGAAAGTAAACTGACCGAGTGTGCTCAGGCAGAGGAAAGTAAACCAGCTGAAGCTGCTCCTGCAGAGGAAAGTAAACCGGTCGAGGCTGCTCCAGCAGAGGAAAGTAAACCTGCTGAAGCTGCTCCCACAGAGGAAAGTAAATCGGGTGAGGCAGCTTCCACAGAGGAAAGTAAACCGGCTGATGCCGCTCCCACTGTTCCCGCAGAGGAAAGTAAACCAGCCGAGTTTGCTCAGGCAGAGGAAAGTAAACCGGTTGAAGCTGCTCCCACAGAGGTAAGTAAACCGGCTGAGCTTGCTCTGGGAGAGGAAACTAAACCGGCCGAGGCTGGTCCCGCAAAGGAAACTAAACTGGCTGAAGCTGCTCCCACAGAGGAAAGTAAACAGGCTGAAGGTTCTCACTCTGAGGAAAGTAAACCGGCTGAAGGTGCTCTTGCAGAGGAAAGTAAACCAGCTGAAGCTGCTACCACAGAGGAAAGTAAACCGGCTGAGTCTGCTCTGGCAGAGGAAAGTAAACTGGCCGCCAAAGCTGCTCCCATGAAGAGAGGAAAGTAAACTGGCCGAGGAAGTTCCTGCAAATGACACTAAAGCAGATGAGCCAGGAATTGAAGAGGTTATTAAACCAACTAAAGCTGCTCCTGCAGAGGAAAGTAAACCGGATGAATATGCTCCCGCAGAGGAAAAGAAACCGGGCGAGGATGCTCCTGCAGAGGAAAATAAACCAGCTGAGGCTGTTCCTGCAGATGAATCTAAAACTGCGGAGCCAGTAATCGAAGAGGAAAGTAAACTGGTTGAGGCTACTCATGCTGAGGAAAGTAAACCAGACAAAATCGCTCCCACAGAGGAAAGTAAACCAACTGAAGCTGCTCCCGCAGAGGAAAGTAAACTGGCTGAGGCTGCTACAGCAGAGGAAAGTAAACTGGCTGAAGCTGCACCCGCAGAGGAAAGTAAACCGGTTGAAGCCGCTCCCGCAGAGGAAAGTAAACCAGCTGAAGCCGCTCCCGCAGAGGAAAGTAAACCGGCTGAAGATGCTCCTGCTGCAGAAAGTAAACCAGCTGAAGATGCTCCCACAGAGGAAATTAAACCAGCTGAAGGTGCTCCATGAAGAAAGTAAACCGGCCGAAGTCTGCTCCCCGAGAGGAAAGTAAACCAGCTGAAGCCGCTCCCTTGAGAGGAAAGTGAACTGGCTGAAGGTGCTCCAGCAGAGGAAAGTAAACTGGCTGAAGCAGTTCCTGCAAATGAGACTAAAACAGATGATCCAGGAATTGAAGAGGTTATTAAACCAACTAAAGTTGCTCCAGAGGAAAGTAAAATGGCTGAAGCTGCTCCCACAGAGGAAAGTAAACTGGCTGAGTCTGTTCCAGCAGAGGAAAGTAAACCAGCTGAAGCTGCTCCGCAGAGGAAAAAATGAAGGAAAATAAACCCGGTTGAAGCTGCTTCCATATAGGAAGGCTGCACAAGCTGAAATTGCTCCCACAGAAGAAAATGAAACTGGCCGAGGCTGCTCCATGAAGGAAAGTAAACCGGCTGAAGCTGCTCCCGCAGAGGAAAGTAAACCAGTTGAAGCTGCTACCGCAGAGGAAAGGAAACCGGCTGAAGCTGCTCCCGCAGTGGAAAGTAAACCGGCCGAGGATGCTCCTGCAGAGGAAAGTAAACAAGCTGAAGCTGCTCCCGCAGAGGAAAGTAAACCGACTGAAGCTGCTCCCGCGAAGGAAAAGGAAACCGACTGAAGCTGCTCCCAGAGAGGAAAGGAAACCAACTGAAACTGCTCCCGCGATGGAAAGTAAACCAACTGAGGATGCTCCTGCAGAGGAAAGTAAACAAGCTGAAGATGCTCCAGAGGAAAGTAAACTGGCTGAAGCTGCTCCCGGAGGAAGTAAACCCGGCCGGAGGAAAGTAAAACTGCTGGAAGCCCGCGGCAGAGGAAAGTAAACCAGCTGAAGCTGCTCCCGCAGAGGAAAGTAAACCAGCTGAAAGTGCTCCCGCAGAGGAAAGTAAACTGGCTGAGGCTGCTACAGCAGAGGAAAGTAAACCAGCTGAAGCTGCACCCGCAGAGGAAAGTAAACCGGTTGAAGCTGCACCCGCAGAGGAAAGTAAACCGGTTGAAGCCGCCTCCCATGAGGGAAAATAAACCAGCTGGCAGCCGCTCCATGAGAGGAAAGTAAACGCTGCTGAAGGAAAGTAACTGGCCCTACAGCAGAGGAAAGTAAACCAGCTGAAGCTGCACCCGAAGAGGAAAGTAAAACGGCGGAAGAGTCTACTCCCGCGGAAAATAAACCAGCTGAAGCTGCTCCCAGGAGGAAAGTAAACCAGCTGAAACTGCTCCATGAGAGGAAAGTAAACCAGCTGAAGCTGCTCCCTTGAGAGGAAAGTAAAATCAGCTGAAGTTGCTCCCGCGAGAAGAAAGTAAACCCAGAGAAGCTGCTCCTGCAGAGAAAAAGTAAACTGGCTGAAGCTGCTTCCTAGAGGAAAGTAAAACTGGCTGATTGCTCCCATGAGAGGAAAAGTAAACAAGAGGAAAGGAAAAGTAAACTGCTGAAGCTGCTTCCATAGAGGAAGGTAAACTAGCTGAAGTTGCTCCCACAGAAGAAGTAAACCGCTGAAGCTGCTTCCATAGAGAAGGTAAACTAGCTGAAGTTGCTCCCACAGAAGAAAGTAAAACGCTGAAGCTGCTTCCATAGAGGAAAGTAAACTGGCTGAAGCGCTCCCATGAAGGAAAGGTAAACTGCTGAGGCTGCTTCCATAGAGGAAAGGAAACTAGCTGAAGTTGCTCCCCATAGTGGAAAGTAAACTAGCCGAGGATGCCCTGCATAGAGGAAGGTAAACTGGCTGAAGTTGCTCCCATGAGAGGAAAGTAAACTGGCTGAAGCTGCTCTCCATGAGGAAAGTAAACAGCTGAGGTTGCCCCAAGAGAGGAAAGTAAACGCTGGAAGCTGCTTCCATAGAGGAAAAGTAACTAGCCGAAGTTGCCCCGCAGAGGAAAGTAAACCGCCAAGCTGCTTCCATGAGAGAAAGTAAACAAGCTGAAGCTGCTCCCGCAGAGGAAAGTAAACTGGCTGAAGCTGCTCTCGGAGAGGAAAGTAAACCGGCCGAGGCTGCTCCCGCAGAGGAAAGTAAACCGGCTGAAGCTGCTCTCGGAGAGGAAAGTAAACCGCCTGAAGCTGCTTCCATAGAGGAAGGTAAACTAGCTGAAGAGAGGAAAAGTAAACTGGCTGAAGCTGCTTCCATAGAGAAAGTAAACTAGCTGAAGTTGCTCCCGCAGAGGAAAGTAAACCGGCTGAAGCTGCTTCCATAGAGGAAGGTAAACTAGCTGAAGTTGCTCCCGCAGAGGAAAGTAAACCGGCTGAAGCTGCTTCCATAGAGGAAGGTAAACTAGCTGAAGTTGCTCCCGCAGAGGAAAGTAAACCGGCTGAAGCTGCTCCCGCAGAGGAAAGTAAACCAGTTGAAGCTGCTCCCGCGAAGGAAAATGAAACCAGTTGAAGCTGCTCCCGCAGAGGAAAGTAAACCAGTTGAAGCTGCTACCGCAGAGGAAAGTAAACCAGTTGAAGCTGCTACCGCAGAGGAAAGTAAACCAGTTGAAGCTGCTCCCGCAGAGGAAAGTAAACCAGTTGAAGCTGCTCCCGCAGAGGAAAGTAAACCAGTTGAAGCTGCTACCGCAGAGGAAAGTAAACCAGTTGAAGCTGCTACCGCGGGGAAAAGTAAACCAGTTGAAGCTGCTACCGCGGAGGAAAGTAAACCAGTTGAAGCTGCTCCGCGAAGGAAAAGTAAACCAGTTGAAACTGCTCCCGCAAGGAAAGTAAACCAGTTGAAGCTGCTACGCGGAGGAAAGTAAACCAGTTGAAGCTGCTACCGCGGGAAAGTAAACCAGTTGAAGCTGCTCCCGCGAAGGAAAATGTAAACCAGTTGAAGCTGCTGACACACAGAGAAAAGTAAACCAGTTGAAGCTGCTCCATGGGGAAAAGTAAACCAGTTGAAGCTGCTCCCGCGAAGGAAAAGTAAACCAGTTGAAGCTGCTCCCATGAGGAAAGTAAACCAGTTGAAGCTGCTCCGCGAAGGAAAATGTCTGAAGCAGTTCCTTAGAAGCTGCTCTCCTGGAAGGAAAAGTAAACCAGGCTGAAGCTGCTTCCATGCCGAAAGTAAAGCTAGCTGAAGCTGCTCCCGCGAGGAAAGTAAAGCGGCTGAAGCTGCTCCGCAGGAAAATTAAACTAGGAAAAGCTAAACAGGCTGAAGCTGTTCCATAGAGGAAACTATGCCGACTGAAGCTGTACTCCAGCAGAGGAAAGTAAACAAGGCTGAAGCTGTTTCCCATAGGAAACTATGCTAGCTGAAGCTGCTCCAGCAGAGGAAAGTACACCGACTCAAGCTGCTCCCACAGAGGAAAGTAAACCCATTGAAACTGTTCCCTGAAGGAAAGTAAACTTGCCGAAGCTGTTCCCGCAGAGGAAAGTAAACCTGCCGAGGCTGCTCCTGCAGAAGAAAGTAAACCGGCCAAAGCTGCTTCTGCAGAGGAAAGTAAACCGGCTGAAGCTGCTTCTGCAGAGGAAAGTAAACTGACCGAGGCGGCTCCTGCAGAGGAAAGTAAACGGACCGAGGCAACTCCCGCAGAGGAGTTACTACCTGCTGAGGGTGCTCCTGCAGAGGAAAGTAAAACATCCGAGATTGATCCCGCAGAGGAAAGTAAACCTGCTGTGGCTGATCCTGAAGAGGAAAGTAAACCTACTGTGGCTGCTCTTGCAGAGGAAATTAAACCGGCTGAGCCAGTTATTGAAGAGAATGTGAAAGCGGCTGAGGCATCTCCTGCAGATGAATGCAAAGCATCCGAAGAGGATATTAAAATGACTGAGGCTGCTCCCACAGAGGAAAGTAAACCAGCTGAGGCTGCACCTGCGGACGAAAGTAAACCAGCTGAAGCTGCTCCAGCAGAGGAAAGTAAACCGGTTGAAGCTGCTACCGCAGAGGAAAGTATACCGGCCGAAGCTGCTTCTGCAGTGGAAAGTAAATCGGCCGAAGCTGCTCCTGCAGAGGAAAGTAAATCGGCCGAAGCTGCTCCTGCAGAGGAAAATAAACCGGCCGAAGCTGCTCCTGCAGAGGAAAATAAACAGACCGAGGCAGCTCCTGCAGAGGAAAGTAAACTGACTGATGCTGCTCCCGCAGAGGAAATTAAACCGGCTGAGCCAGTTATTGAAGAGAATGTGAAAGCGGCTGAGGCATCTCCTGCAGATGAATGTAAAGCCTCCGAGCCAGTAGTTGAAGAGGATATTAAAATGACTGAGGCTGCTCCAGCAGAGGAAAGTAAACCCTCTGAGGCTGCACCTGCAGACGAAAGTAAAACGGCCGAAGCTGTTCCCGCAGACGAAAGTAAAACGGCCGAAGCTGTTCCCGCAGAGGAAACTAAACCGGCCGATGCTGCTCCTGCAGATGAAAGTAAACCGGCCGATGCTGCTCCTGCAGATGAATGTAAACCGGCCGATTCTGCTCCTGCAGAGGAAAGTAAACCAGCCGATGCTGCTACCGCAGAGGAAAGTAAACTTGCTGAGGCTGCTCCTGCAGAGGAAATGAAACTGGCTGATGCTGCTCCGGTAGAGGAAAGTAAACCCGTGGAGGCTGCTCCTATAGATGAAAGTAAACCGATCGAGGCTGCTACTGCTGAGGAAAGTAAACGTTCTCAGGCTGCTCCCTCAGATGAAAGTAAACTGGACGAGCTAGTTACTGAAGAGGATGTGAAAGCAGACAATGCTGCTCCTGTAGATGAAACTAAAGCATATGAGCCAGTAAGTGAAGATGATATTAAAATGGCTGAGGCTGCTCCCACAGAGGAAATTAAATCGGCCGATGCTTCTCATGCAGAGGAAAGTAAACCTGCTGAGGCTGCTCCAGCAGAGGAAAGTAAACCGGCTGATGCTGCTCCGGTGAGAAAAGTAAACCCGCTGAGGCTACTCCTGCAGAAGAAAGTAAATCTGCCGAGGCTGCTCCCTTGAGAGGAAAAGTAAACCGGCTGAGCCAGGTATTGAAGAGAATGCAGAAGTGGCGAGGCAGCTCCTCCAGAAGAAAAAACTAAAGCATCCGAGCCATTAATTGAAGAGGATATTAAACCGCCGAGGCTGCTCTTGCAGAGGAAAAAAAGTAAACTGAACGGCTGCTCCTGCAGAGGGAAGTAAACCGGCTGAGGCTGCTCCTATGAAGAAAGTAAACTGGCGAGGCTGTTCCCGCAGAGGAAAGTAAACCAGATGAAGCTGCTCCCGCAGAGGAAAGTAAACTGGCCGATGCTGCTCCTGCAGAGGAAAGTAAACCGGCCGAGGCTGCTCCCACAGAGGAAATTAAATCGGCCGATGCTTCTCATGCAGAGGAAAGTAAACCTGCTGAGGCTGCTCCAGCAGAGGAAAGTAAACCGCTGATGCTGCTCGGTGAGAGGAAAGTAAACCCTGAGGCTACTCCTGCAGAAGAAAGTAAATCTGCCGAGGCTGCTCCCGCAGAGGAAAGTAAACCGGCTGAGCCAGGTATTGAAGAGAATGCAGAAGTGGCCGAGGCAGCTCCTCCAGAAGAAACTAAAGCATCCGAGCCATTAATTGAAGAGGATATTAAACCGGCCGAGGCTGCTCTTGCAGAGGAAAGTAAACTGGACGAAGCTGCTCCTGCAGAGGGAAGTAAACCGGCTGAGGCTGCTCCTGCGGAAGAAAGTAAACTGGCCGAGGCTGTTCCCGCAGAGGAAAGTAAACCAGATGAAGCTGCTCCCGCAGAGGAAAGTAAACTGGCCGATGCTGCTCCTGCAGAGGAAAGTAAACCGGCCGAGGCTGCTCCCACAGAGGAAATTAAATCGGCCGATGCTTCTCATGCAGAGGAAAGTAAACCTGCTGAGGCTGCTCCAGCAGAGGAAAGTAAACCGGCTGATGCTGCTCCGGTAGAGGAAAGTAAACCCGCTGAGGCTACTCCTGCAGAAGAAAGTAAATCTGCCGAGGCTGCTCCCGCAGAGGAAAGTAAACCGGCTGAGCCAGGTATTGAAGAGAATGCAGAAGTGGCCGAGGCAGCTCCTCCAGAAGAAACTAAAGCATCCGAGCCATTAATTGAAGAGGATATTAAACCGGCCGAGGCTGCTCTTGCAGAGGAAAGTAAACTGGACGAAGCTGCTCCTGCAGAGGGAAGTAAACCGGCTGAGGCTGCTCCTGCGGAAGAAAGTAAACTGGCCGAGGCTGTTCCCGCAGAGGAAAGTAAACCAGATGAAGCTGCTCCATGAAGAGAAAAGTAAACTGGCCGATGCTGCTCCTGCAGAGGAAAGTAAACCGGCGAGCTGCTCCCCAGAAGGAAAATAAACTCGCTGAGGCTGCTCCCGCAGAGGAAAGTAAACTGGCTGATGCTGCTCCGGTAGAGGAAAGTAAACCCGCTGAGGCTACTCCTGCAGAAGAAAGTAAACCTGCCGAGGCTGCTCCCGCAGAGGAAAGTAAACCGGCTGAGCCAGGTATTGAAGAGAATGCAGAAGTGGGCGATGCAGCTCTTCCAGATGAAACTAAAGCATCTGAGCCATTAATTGAAGAGGATATTAAAATGGCTGAGGCTGCTCCCACAGAAGAAAGTAAACCGGCTGAGGCTACTCCTGCAGAGGAAAGTAAACCGGCCGAGGCTGCTCTTGTAGACGAAAGTAAACTGGACGAAGCTGCTCCTGCAGAGGGAAGTAAAACGGCTGAGGCTGCTTCTGCGGAGGAAAGTAAACTGGCCGAGGCTGTTCCTGCAGAGGAAAGTAAACTAGCTGAAGCTGCTCCACAGAGGAAAGTAAACCAGATGAAGCTGCTCCCGCAGAGGAAAGTAAACCGGCTGAGGCTGCTCCCGCAGAGGAACGTAAACCGGCCGAGGCTGCTCCCGCAGAGGAAAGTAAACCGGACGAGGCTGCTCCAGCAGAGGAAAGTAAACCAGCTGAGGCTGCTCCTGCAGAGGAAAGTAAACCCACTGAGGCTGCTACTGCAGAAGAAAGTAAACCTGCTGAGGCTGCTCCCGCAGAGGAAAGTAAACTGGCTGAGCCAGTCATTGAAATGGATGTGAAAGCAGCCAAATCTGCTCCTGCAGATGAAACTAAAGCGTCCGAGCCAGTAATTGAAGAGGATATTAAAATGGTTGAGGCTGCTCCCACTGGGGAAAGTAAACCAGCTGAAGCTGCTACAGCAGAAGAAAGTAAACTGGCCACCGATACTCCTGCAGAGGAAAGTAAACTGACCAAGGCTGCTCCTGCAGAGGAAATTAAACCGGATGAGGCTGTTCCCGCAGAGGAAATTAAACCGGATGAGGCTGTTCCCGCAGAGGAAAGTAAACCGACTGAGGTTGCTCCTGCAAAAGAAAGTAAACCGGCTGAAGCTGCTCCCACAGAGGAAACTAAACCAGCCGACTCTGTTCCCACAGAGGAAAGTAAACCAGCCGAGTCTGTTCCCATAGAGGAAAGTAAACTGGCTGAGGCTGCTCCCATAGACAAAAATAAACCGGACGAGGCTGCTCCCGCAGAGGAAAGTAAACCGGACGAGGCTGCTCCCGCAGAGGAAAGTAAACCGGATGAGGTTGCTCCTGCAGAGGAAATTAAACCAGACGAGGCTTCTCCCGCTGAGGAAAGTAAACCGGCCGAGGCTGATCCTGCAGAGGAAAGTAAACCGGACGATTCTGCTCCCGCAGAGGAAATTCAACCGGCCGAGGCTGCTCCTGCAGAGGAAAATAAAATGGCCGAGGTAGTTCCAACAGATGAAACTAAAGCAGATGAACCAGTAATTGAAGAGGATATTAAATCGGCCGAGGCTGCTCCAAGAGAGGAACATATACCGGCCAAGGCTACCCTCGCAGAGCTGAGTAAACCGGCTGAGCAAGCTCTGGAAGAGGAAAGTAAACTGGATGAGGCTGGTCTGGCAGTGGAAAATAAAGTAGCCGAAGCTGCTCCTAAAGAGGAAAGTAAACTGGCTGATGCTGATCTGGCAGAGGAAAGTAAAGCGACCGAGGGTGCTTCAGAAGAGGAAGGGAAACCAGCTGATGATGCTCCAGAAGATGAAATTAAACCAGCTGATGATGCTCCAGAAGAGGAAATTAAACCAGCTGAGGCTGCAAAGGAAAGTAAATCGGTAGAGGCTGTGGAGGAAAGGAAACCGACCGAAGCTGCAGTGGAAAGTAAACTGGCCGAGGCTGCAGAGAAAAGTAAACAAGCCGAGTCTTCTCCTGCAGGGGAAAGTAAACCATCTGAGGTTACTGCCACAGAGGAAATTAAATTGGCTGAGTCTGTAATTGAAGAGAAAAATCAACCAGCCAAATCTGCCCCCGCAGAGGAAAGTCAACCAGCTGAGGTTGCTTCTACAGAGGAAAGGAAAACAACTGAGGTTTCTCCTACAGAAGTGAGCAAACTATCTGATGCAACAGTTGACAAAGAAATTCTTCCAGCTGAGGTAGCTACAGTAGAAGAAAGTATACAAGCTGAGGCTGGTCCTGCAGATGAAAGTAAACTGTCAGAGGTAGCTCCTGCAGAGGGTAGTAAACTATCTGAAGCAGTTGCCCCAGAGGAAAGTAAAGTGGTAGAGATACTTCCCACAGAAGAATGTGAAGTAGCCAATGTAACTACTATAGAGAAAATTGCAATAGCCTATGAAGTTCCTGTAGAGGCTCTTAAATCTGCTGATGTTGCACTTGCAGAAGAAATGAAACTAGTTGCTATTTCATCTGTTGAGGATATTAAATTAGCTGAAAATGGATCTGCAGCAGAAACGGTACCTGTTGGACCTGCCACTACTGAAGAACTTACACCAGCTGCAACTGTAGAGGATTTTAAGGCAGTTGAGCCTGTATCTGCTGAAGTGATATCAGTGGAAATTGAACCAGCTGAAGTTGAAATCAAACCTATTAAGCCTGTATTCACTGAAGAATTTAAACCAGCTGAGGTAACGAAAGAAGATATACAAGCTGAAACTGTTCCTGCTGAAGAAGTTGAACCAGCTTTGGTAGCAGAACAATATATGAGAGCTAAATCTCTTCCTGCAGTAGTAATTACACCCGATGATAGAGAGGAATGTATCCCAACTGAAGCTGTTTCTGTAGAAGACATTAAATCTGCAGTAGTAGCAGAAGCTGTTCCTATTGAAGATAGTAATGCAACTGTGATTGCTGATGAAGCGTTACATGCTCAAAATCAAGACATATCTTCAGTAAGTGCTGCAAAATGTGAAAACATGTCTGCTGAACCTACTGTTTCTGAAACTGTCTCTGACTTTCAAAGTGTTTCAGTGGAAGCTTCTCCAACAGAAAAGAATGCTTTGGATAATAAGACTTTTGTTGTCTTTCCGAGTGCAATTCATACTGGGGAACCTAATGTAGCTGCAGTATGTCCTCCTGAGCCCGTTCAAGAAATTTCTGAAAACCAAACTACTTTGGAAAGCATAGTTGATGAAATTCTTCCTGCTGATGATAGCCAAAAAGCTAAGGACCAGTTCCATATGCCTGCTGAATCTGCTGAATGCCATATTCTGGAGAAACCAGTTGTTGATAGTGAACGAGAACCTGATCCAATGGGTTTGTTGAATGTCATTTTAACTGAAGAAAGTCAGTCAAAGTTTAGTTCATCTGATATTTTAGCTCAGAATACACCCGTATGTGAAATTGGCATTGCAAAAAAAATTGAACCAGAAGTCCCTCTTTACGGTAAGGAAATTAAGCTGGTAGAATCTGTGGAAAATAGTAAGGAATCTGATAATATAAAAGGAATATCTGATGTTGACTCTACTGCTGTTGAAATAAAAAGTGAAGGTGCTGAAAATGATTCAACACTTGGAACTGCTGTTAGTACAAATAAAGTAATAGAACTGGAAGATAAAACTAATTTAGATCCTATGGGAAAAGTTGATGTTTCTAAGGCAGATTTCGATAGAACGATTTTAGATGAAAAGGTTAAAGAAAAGCAGCTTTTTACAGAAATTGAACAAATCCAAATAATTGATAACGAATTATTACAGAAAGATGCTGAAGAAATTGTGCAAGTGATAAAAACTGAGAATGGAAGTGTGGCAAATAAAATTGAATTGATTGTGCCAAAACGTGCTAAAATACTCACCTCGGAAACAATTTCTAAGGACAGTGCCAAACCAGCAAAAACCAAAGAAACAAAGACTAAAAAACTGAAAAAGAAAGAGTCCAAGAGTAAAAGCAGAACTGAATCTGCCACAAGCAAAGGAGAGCCAGTAAAAAGCAAATCTAAAAAATCAAGCCCTGAAAAAGGAAGTAAAAAAGAAAAAAAGACTTCTGCAAGTAGTGTACCAAAACAAAAGTCCAGCAGTCCCAAGAAATCTTCAAGCACCTCCAAGAAGCCCAAAGGAAGCGCTAGTTCTACAAAATCAAAATCTGGCTCTTGCAAAGCGAGCAGTGTGGACAAGAGTAAGCCAGTGTCTAAGATCTCTCCGACTGCAAAGAAGATTCCCAATAAGACAGATAGCTCTGATTCTTCAAAGCATTCCAGCACTTCGTCTAGAAAGAAAGATGAGATGTCAAATGGAAAGACACGAGGTCGATCTACCAGTCGAAATATTATTCTAAAAAGAACAACGAAAACAGAGAAACTGAGACTGGCTAAGATCAAAAGTACAATGGAATCCGCCTCCAATCAGTATACACCAGTGCACTCGCGCTCGGCCTCACTACAGTCTCCAGGCACCCATCGAATGCGAAGTTGCAGTCCACAAAAATCTTCTCGAGTGACATCACCTGAGAAAAGGATGGCCTCACCTACCAAGCCAAAGTCAACCATTGCCCGTTCAAGAAAAGGTTGAACTATATGTATGAGCTTAATAGTTTTCCCTTGCAGCAAGCAATTGTGTGTGCCTGGGTGTGTTAGCCTTTTGTCTCTGTTCCGCTATTATTTTGCAGCTTGCATTGGACAAACCATATGTGTAAAACAGTTGTTTCATAGCAGACGTAGCAATATACAGTGATATTTGATATATACGTTTCTATTACATTATGACAAATTTATATAATGAGCGATACGTTTAATGAGTCATTGAATTATATGCAAACCGAAACAGTGATGCCACTATAAATTACAATATCTTTGACTTTTTGCTTATTTTAAACAGGGCTTTTTTAACACTTCCACTGCTGCCTTGTTATGGCTGTGCTTGCTTCTTTTGGGAAAAGTTTGGGAATTGCCATTTACTGGAAATAAATTGCCATAAAGATGCTTACAGTGATTTCTCATGGATGCTGCCAATTTGGTTTCGATCAGATACTCTGCAGTATAAACTGAGCTAGGCAACATCCTCAACACACAATATAATAAAAATATATCACAAAACAGGTTTTATTGTACATTACTATATCTTTATGTTGGCTTGGAAATAGCACTAAGCGCTAGTTAGCTTTTAACAATAATGCTAGGGACTGGCATTATGCAGTGTTTTTAAAACGTATATCACATCGACAGCAGGCAATGTAAGTTTTATAAAAATATATAGGGAGCAGTGGAATTGTTAAATATTGCTATTTAATTCTGTATTATTTATTTACAGAAAGATTTTTTAAATTTAAAAAAAAAATCAGTTTTGTCAAATTTGCATAAAACTTGTGACTGGTTTTAAAAGGCTTCTATAGTGGGTATCACTGCATTTCATTTTACAGTTAAATTCAATAAATATACATGTGCAGAGTAACATTGACAATTTCTTGGCTTGACCCACTTCTCAAAATTAGACCAAATATAAGATCATTTGTTTTTTGTTTTTGTTTTTTTTGGAAAGGCTTCTTGGTTGAGCTGAGAATTTTTCAGTGTCCTCTTGTATGTATTTTCTTGTATTTCAGTGTCTATGTATGTATGTATTTATATATATATATATACACATGTTCATTTGCATACATATACACTTTATACAGACATATCTGTATGCATTCATGTTGGTACATATGAGTGGGTATATTTATACAGCTGTGCTATATATAGATTTATTTAACTGTCTAAATACATATGAACACTGCATTGTGTGTTCAGTGTATTTCTAATATGTATTCCACATGTATGCATAGGTGATCCAATAGTTGTGCATTACACAGATTATTATAATGTGGTTAGATCATGGATTAAACACTGGTTTGTTCAGACTGAAATATGATTTGAAAATATTTGTTAAATATGTAACAGATTTATTCTTGTGGTGCTCAACTTTTGACTTACCTTTGTATCTGTATAAGTATTTACATGAATGTATATGCTTACTATAAGTATGATTATATCTACACCCCTAGGAAAAAAAATGGATGGAAACCTCAAATGGCAAAACCTTAAGTTTTTAATGCTCTTAATGCCAAACAAATTATCAGAAAATGAACATGAATTAAATAGATAAAGTAACTTAGTATAGGATGGATTTCCCTTTGATTTCTTTAAAGGCTTAAGCCTTGTAGATATAAACTTTTGAATAGATTTTTATAGAATGAACAGTTAATATTTTATTCAATGTTGATAGCCTTAAACAGTGAGCAGTATTTGATAAATGTTTCCCAGTTTGTGTTTAATGCAAAAGTTAAATATTTTTATCAGGTTCAAATCTGAACTCTGACCTGGCCAAAACATAAGCCTTATGGACTAGTTTTGAAGTCACATTTTGATTGTCTTTGCAACAAAAGCAATAATAATGTCTTGTTGAAAAATAACAGCTGATTCTTCCTCTTTAGAAAATAATTTCTCTATTATGAGATGCAAAACTTTCTGCAATAATCTGTATTCAAATGTGTTAATTGCTTTTTTCATTCAATGTCAATGATTCAAATAGTTGAGAAGTCATTGGGAATGATTCCTGGCTAGTTCATCTTTAATGCAATCCCAAATTTTCTCTCTCCTGTTCAAATCTGAACTTTAACCAGACCAAAAGATATGTCTTATAGACTTGATTTCAAACCACTTTTTTGTGGTATTTGCAGTGTAGACATAAGCATTGTCTTATTAAAAGAATAACAACTGATTATTCCTTTTTAGATAACAACTTTCAGTTTGTGTCGAGTAATTCTTTTTGCAAAGCATTAATTGACTTTTCATATTTTGGGTTTGATCCATTTTGGCCACGGATTCTACATATATACCCCATATTTTTCTTGGAAATAATTCTGCTAGAGAAAACAACTTGTTATTTATGGGATGCAAGTCTTTTTGCAATATTCTCCTGTATTCCAAAGCATTGACTTTTGGCATTTGGGGCTTGTCACATTTTTTCCTCCTAGGAGTAATGTATATTATATATTTATACTTATGCACACATGCTGGTACATTTATATATATATATATATATATATATATATATATATATATATATATAAATAAAATGTACTTTTCAAGTTGTAATATTGTTTAGTTTTCTTAGTTTGCATGATGTTTTTGGTTAACTTCTAGTTGTACTAATTCCCCATCCCCTGTATAAAGAAAGGGAAAATAATAAACATTAGATATATGTTGAAGTTTGTGGATTCAATTGTTTCTTTTCTTTTCTCCGAATGTTGTGAGTTTATTGTCACTGTATGTTGCTACTAATGTACTGCTTGTATCCTCCTCACCTTTATTACTGCATGCGATATTGAAGGCTGCAAATTGGGCATGTGTGTCTTTTAATGCAGATTTTAGATTCCCTATCTTCTAAAAGCTGTTGTCAGAATTGATCACTCATCACTGCCTCAGTTGCTGCCAGATCACCATTTCTGGATATGTCGATATGCATACGAATTTTTAAAAAGGTCAAATTGATCAAAATACATTTGATTACACCTATTTTTCAATTGTTATTCTATATATTTCTAGAAAAGGATTTATTGTTTTTTACAAGCTGGAAGCTGTTATTTGATTCTTGTCAAAATGATTTGCAAAGCAAGCAAAATTGAATATTGTGCATTTGTGTGAATGTGTCAATGGATAACTTAACAAACAGTAATGTTTGGTTATGTGTCTAGACCATCTTTTACAATGTTTTTAATGGGATGGAGAAAATTTTTCATTTCCCTCTGACAACTTTTAGAAATTTACAAATTTAGAAATATTCTTTTAGTTTTATTTAAGATTTTATTTTTTTTTAAAAATGAATGCGTGGAAGTAGAATTTAGAGAGAATGATACAAATACAAATATTTCCATTTATGACCTGTTTCTGTTTCAATTTGTTTAAGGGTAATTTGAAGAAGGCGAATCAATAATTACATAGACAGATAGACAGTTATTAGCCAAATTTTGAACTGAAATTTTCATTGTATAATGTTTGATTTATGTAATTAATATTCACCACTGAATTAAGTTCATTGACAAGGAGATGATATTGAAAAATAGATATTTTTTGTGTAAAATAAATGCTTTTCAATATAAGTTGAACTTATTGCTATATCTACATATATGATTATTATTCACCACTGAATTAAGTGCACTAAAAAGGAAGGAGATTATGTTGAAAACTAAATATTAGTTACATAAAATAGATGTTTTTTTTCATCATCAGGCTACAATCTTATTGATGCATCTATGTATTACTTTCAATACTGCATTAATCTCCTTTGTCAATGCACTTAATTCAGTTGTGATAATAAATGCACTTAAATTGAAAAACAAATATCTATTGTGTAAAAAATGAATGCTTTTTTCATGTCTTATTGATGCACCCAATGTATGTGGTTAATAGCTACCATAAAATTAATCTCCTTCATTCTCAATGCACTTATGCTGAAAGATATTTGTTGAGGAAAATAAATTCTAGGCTATAGGCATATTCATGTACCTGAGTGTGTGATGAATATTAATAACTGAATTAAGTGCATTAACAAGGAAGGAGATGGAAAACTAAATATTAATTATTTAAATTAAAAGCCTTTGATTTATCATTAAGTTACAGACTTATTGATGTATTAAATGCGTGTCTGTCTCAATGTGAAGTTTAAAGTATGGGATGATAAATGATTGACATGAAATATCTAAATAAAATACATAGGATGGAATTCATGAAACCAGTTGGATACAAAAAGCATTAAAAAGGAAATAAAAGAATTTTAAACATCGAACTGGTTTTCACAAATTCCATTTTACCTTATTTATGTTATGCAAATGTGAGTTATTTAAGGTTTTTAAAAGGTTCCAGTGAATTCTTTCATTTGAAGTTAAAACTAAAGATCTTACTTGTTTCTGTAAAATTTGTCAATAGATGTAAAATTGTTTCTTTTCTTAACTGTTGAATTTTTTTAAGTGTTAGATTGTTTTTGTCAACTTTTACATTTAAAAGCATTTAACTATTTTATTATTTCAAATTTTCCTCTTAAAATGTTGCTCACCATAAATTGGAATATAAAGTAAATCAATATGATAATGAAAAATATATTTCTATAACATTTGTTTGTCAAATCTTGAGGAAGAAAATGGATATTTGGACTGATATCTTAACCTTTAGTTTTATTCTTTTTCTGTTTTAGAATGTATGAATGACTGTTTGTATTTACAAGTATAAAAGTAGGGTTCATATTATGCAATATTCAAATTTGCTTTCTTTTTACTTATATTCTAAGAAAATAGATAAAAAAAACACTGTCATTTAATATGAAAATGAACAATTTCTTCTTACCATTTGCAATGTGGACAAGAAGGGTGTTGCTTGAAACATATATATATATATATCTATATAATTTGACATGTAAATAACAAAATATCAACTTTTGGGCCATAAAAATTGTTAACTCATTCTTAATCTAAATGATTTTCAGTCCACCCTAAAGGACTTATAATAAAATGAAGAAAAAAAATTTCCCAGTATTATAATGTTTATAAAGTTTATTGCAGTTGTCTCCTGCGGAGGTGAGTTTAGTGCCAGCCTTCATTTATTTAATCAAAATTTTTCTTCATAGAAAAGATAAAAAAATTTAAACACCTGATTTGCTATCACTCTTAACCTGAGTCTTTGTGATAAAATACAATTATCTTGAAATCCATTTATGCTTTTTGAAATTTAAATTAAGTCTGAAAACATAATGAAAAGTTTTCTTTATTTTCACATGTAAAATTTTTATTTCAAAAAATGATATAAAAGATAGTGCAGCATAAAACTATGAATTGAGGAAGAAGGCTGTTATTTGAAATTGTGGGTAAGAATGGCATATTCTAAAATAGATTCTTGTAGTTGATAAAACTGAGATATTTGTCTCTTGACAATTAGCCAAAACAATAATATCCTTAAAGATTCATTCTGTAAGTTACAAAATAGTTGTTGTATATTAAAGAGAACATCAAATAAAACATTAAAACAAGATTGGAAAATCAAAGATAATTTAACAATTTCTTTTTTAATGGAGATATTGTGCTTAAGTATATGTTTATATTTTTTATTTGAAATTTTAAAATTTATTTTAGATTTTAAAATTTTATTTAAATTCGTTTTATCTTTAGATTTTTAGAATTTTAAATCTTATTTTAGATTTAAAACCTATTTTGAATTTTCAATATTTACAATTTAAAAAAAATTAGAAGTTTAGATTTTAAAGATTTTTCAATTTTATTTAAATTTTTTTTAAATTATGTGTATTTTAAATTATATTTTGAAGTTTTAATATTTTTTGATTTTTTTAAATTTTTAAATTTTTTTAAATTTCAATTTAAATATTTTAAATTTTAACTTTTATATAAATGTTTTAAATTGTTTAAATAAAAAATAATTTTCTAATCCTATTTTTCTTTTTTTTAGGTAGATTATTTTTTAAGCTGTTTTGTGTTTTCTCACAAAACACCAACAATATTGAAGTCTAGAGGAATTCATTTGAATGATTTTTAGAAACTTTCAGAATATTGTTAATTTTATCACAAGGACTTAGGATTTCTGAGATTCTTCATATTAAGCACTCTTTTTAATCATGGCTGTATATTGGAATCAATTTGTCAATTCATAATGATCAAAAGAATTAATGAAACCACTTACCACCCCCACCACTACTGCTAATCTGTAAATGCAAAAGTTTACAAGAAGGGTGCTGAAAATTTCTTGGCTGACCAAGAAATCTTACCCAAAATATTCTGATGTTTGAGAATTTCTTCAGATTTTGGGAAGTGAGTTAGGCTGAGAACTTTTCAGCACTCCTCTAAGATATCTTTTTAATTTTTATTTTTATCTGAATTTCTGGTATGAGAAGTGATCATTATTTACATGTGTACTGTTGTTTCCCTCTGGTCTTCTGGTGTCTGTCAATCCGGGTTACCTTCTGAATGTTATCCAGATTGAGAAAGATCTGACGAAGGCTAGTGGTCACAGTGGAGAAAATTTTATAATAAAGCCAAATATAGAAGAATTCAAAATGTATATGAGAAGATATAATTGAATTAAAAATTTAGTTAATCATAATAATAAATAAAATGGGTAATTAATTAGCCACTTAATTGTCACAACACACCAGTTTGGAAATAGTATCATTTTGTATGGAAAAAAATAATTGTTTTATTTAATTCCACCATGGTATATATAATTTAGACTATTTATCAAAAATTGTTATTTAAATATTTTAAAACTGAAATACTTTTTACTTTAATTGAACACCTTCAAAACACATCTAACAAAAAAAAAAAAATGTCTCGGGGAAATAAGGAACTTGCAGATTTAGTTTACAAGATATTTATATTAATTCTCAAATAGTCTTTTATCAGAAAGACATTTAAAAAAATGAAACCCTAAGGAATGGAAATGAGTATGATTAAATTATATGATTTAAAGAATATAATAATTGTGCTTGTCCCTCCTTTCATTAGTTCCTTAGTTTGCACAACCATTACATCCTGCTAATATCTCATAAATAATGGACTATACTATTTTGATCATGGGGAAAGACAAATGACATATCAAAGATGCTACTTGGTTTCAGTGAAAAAATAAAGGTTGATAGACGTGTTTAATATCTCCTGCCAATACCTCATAAATAATGGTCTATTCTGTTTTGACTGCATGAAAAGACAGAAATGACATGAGAGATGCTACTTGGTTTTAGTGAGAAATTGAAAGAAAGAAGTGTTTAACATTTCCTGTAAATACCTCATAAATAATGGACTATTCCATTTTAATCATGTGATAAGACAAAAGATATGTTGAAGATGGTACTTGGTTTCAGTGAGAAAATGAAAGGTAAATATTTAATGATGCGATAGGGAAATTTTTATGGATATTTTATTGTCGTAGAATTCAATTTATATAGGCCTGAAAAATAAATAATGTAAGATACATAAATATAAAAAAACAAAAAACAAACATCACAAAAATAAAATATCTGCTTGGAGTCAGTTTAAATTGATGCTGCCTTCTATTTTACCATATATAGTGACCATTTTGCTTAGATTTTGTATTTTCTTAATTCAGGTGAAAACTTGAAAATTTTCCAGCATATTTCAGTGAAATCTTCACTCCCCCAAATTAGAACTTATAGATTAAATACATTTGAAAAAAGGTGGCATGATTTTAAACTGACACTAGGAGGATAGGGATTAAGCAGATCAGCAGTTGTGGTAATGTAATTTTCATTGAAAAATCATTTCTTTTTTAAATCATTAACTTAATTTTATTTCACCATTAATTAAATATGTGTGCATGTGCTTATTATATATATATATATATATATATATATATATAATGAGCAATAATCTGGTTTTCACGATGAAACAGCTGCATTTGTAGAATAAATGAAACTAGAATCGCATGCAAACCATGCATGAAATTCAAATCAAGCACACCCCAAACTTGTAAACCAAATCCTTTTTCTCTAAAACAGTGTGGCATGGACCAGAACTGTGGCATAAACCACCCCCCTTATGTTTTACCCAAGCCTGTTGTGATGCAGGCTTTGTGTTGCTTTTTTTAAACTTAAAGTGTTGTCACCATGTCTAATATTTCTTATCTTACTTTCTGTTTTTTTCTTTTGTTGATTGTGCAGTTTACTTTCTTTTAATTAAATCAGGACATTATTATTATTATTATTATTATTATTATTTGTTTTTTAGATTCTTTAATAATATTAACACACTAATATTTGTGATATGTTTTTTATTTCTTTTATTGATCTAACTGCTGATGTGTGTAGAACAAATGCAATATGAAAATGCAAGAAGCAAATTGATTGATGTAAAATTAAAATAACATTCATAGTTTTCTCTTACGTGTTTATTTTTAAAAAAACTGATTTGCTTTTGCTTATTATACTTTTTTTAAAATCTTGTAGATCGTCTGTTGGCTGAGCAGGAGTATGATGAGTACCAGTCAAAGGTTTGTGAAAATTAATGATATTTTTTTTCTCTTGGCTAAATGTAGTTTCAATGAATGAACATCAGATTCGTTACTTTTCATTTAATGAGGCATCTGTTAGGCTTCTATGTGCTGTATCCTTTCCGGATGTAGGCGATCATGGCTCTCCATAACTTTCTATTCCTTGTGGTCCTTCACAGTGTTTTCTCCTTTGCCAAGGCCCTTGTTCTACCATTCACACAAGCTTGTCAGGTAGATGGCCTGCTGCCTTACCCTATCTCACTTGATATCAGTTTGCCATGTGAGTGTTAAGTTTTCCAAGCCCTCCTTCCTCGTGTATGCAAGAAATTTCAGCTGTCTCTTTCTGATTCTAAGTGTTCATTATGTTACCATTTTTTAAGACTTCCTCATTGCTTACACACGCTGTCCATTGAATTCTCAGTATCCTTCTGTTGCCTCTAGTTTTCTCTTCATCTGCGGTGAGATTGTTCAGCATTCACTGTAATTCAAGAGGATTAATATCACAGCAATTCAGTACTCTTTGTTTCTAACAATTTTCCTGTTTCTTAATACTTTGTTTAGCTTTTGGAAGGCAACTTTTGCTAATTTGATGCCCATTCAGATTTTGGTGTTGCATTTTCCATCCTCTTATAACATGCCCAGATATTTAAACTTCTGTATTCGTTTGATATTGACATCTCTAATTCGTAATGTACATTTATGAGCAATATTCACAATATTATCAGCAGTAGTATTCACTTGGGAAGCAATAAAAACTGCTTATATAGAAAAATATATTTCCTAATATTTATTTCTGAATATTTTATCACATTTGTTAATTTTCAGGTAATGTGGTAGTTTCTTATTACTATAAACTTTATATTTAGTGGCTATATGTGCTTGAGTGGACTGGTTTTAAACGGTGAAATTTATGTTAACTGGTCTAGGTAAGTAGAAGTGTCCTTCTAAAGAAACTAAAGTACCTCCCAATAGGAATCAAACCTGTATTCCCCGTTTTCCATTAAGGAAACCAGTTTTAAGACAAGTGTGCTTTACTAATGAGTATGAGAAGCTACCATGACAGAGCAAAGCTCAGTTACCCTACTTAAGAAATGCACACCTTTCATTTGGACATTTTGATGTATGTGGTAATATATCAACAAATAAAATTAAATGTTTCAGCTTTCACATATATAGTATCAATTCCTTGTTGTGGGGAGGGGTATGATTGTAAAATACTCTGTAGTTGTTTATAAATACTTTGAACTTTGCCAGAAATAGACAATCACATATAAGGTTCTCATCTGACAGCACTATTACTAAATCTTTATATTCTATTGTGGCCACATCGTTAGAGCATTAGCTTTCTGACTGAGATCAAGGTTTGAATTTCATCATGGTCGATTTATCAATAAGGTAACTTCATGATAATATTGGTCATGGAAAATGATCCTAGCCTGCATCACTATTGGAAAGGGCCTGAAAGTTACACTATGCATTGACCCAAACCTTGTCAGTGAAATTGGGTAGACAAACCTGTTTAGGAGCTGTTGGTTGCATTAGAATGAAGTCTTAAGTCATTGTGTCTAACAATTTGAGTATATTGCTTTTGCCCAAACTATTGGTCATTCTTGATTATGCATTCTCTCCAAGAACTGTAAACTAGCATAAATGCAGTATAATCCTTGAAGAAATACAAGGCATCTGCAATAGGGATTAGATGGCCACACTAGCAGATGCGTATGCTCAGATACGAGCAACCAGCCATTATCTTTTTATTAAAAATCTGAGTATTACATAAATTAGAGGAAATGTTTATTGAAAGGTTTTATTTTACTTTATTGATTAATAAAAATAAAATTTGGCTAGAATAAAATTTAAAAAAGATTATCAAGCCTAAAATTGAATTTGGTATTTTCCTTTCATTTTTTGTTAAAAAATTTTTAGATTTCCCCACTATCTCCTGACGGGAGAAAGAAGTATGGTATAAATGCTCGAAATGAAACTTACAGGCCTGGTGGTGGAAATGTGAAGATTTTTAGTGAGAAAATTGATTTTAAAAGTGTTGGGCCAAGAATAGATGCAAGGAGTAAATCGCCAAGGAAATCTCCTCCATCGTCAATTCAGAGTCCAGGTTTGTATAATCACTTTTTCATTTTACAACTTGAAAATAGGGTTTTATTTCCAGATATAAATTTTGTCAAATTATGCCTTTGTTTGAATTTTCATGGAAATTTCTGATTTAAAATTTCACTTTGAGATTAAGACACAGAGATAAGTATTTGTTATAAATGTTGAATGAAATTTTGAATTTTTCCCTGAGTGAAGATCATCAAAAATATCAGAGGCAAATATAACAGAAAATTTCATTTGTCCAAAAACTGCATTTGGTTGCATGGACAGGGGAATGCTGTCTTTTGATTACATGACTCACCTATTACATTACATGATTAGGAATTTGCAGTGTCAGTGAGATAAAAACAGATATATTGATGTTATAACAAGCAAAGGAAAGAACAAACAAGGATTTAAATTTCAATGGATCAATTTTCAGAATACATATATGAAAAGGTGACAAAAATCTCCTGAGCCAACCAAACATAGAAATGAATACAATATGGGAACCAGTAATAAGGAATGCTAGAGAAAAGCAATGAATAACCACAAAAAATTGAAATATAAGCTCTGGTAAAAAATATGCATTAATAATAACAGAAAAATTGCAATATGAACATTGGTAAAAATTGAGGCTGAGACATTAAGTTTATAAGTCCTAGAAATTCATATAGTCTAGTGGATAAAGGTGTTGGTTAGATCTAGTGATTAGATCCAAAGAGTTATGAGTTCATTACAAGACTACAGCAGTAGTGAATCAAAAACTGAGAAATCTGGAAGAGGCATGGCATGTGGAACTAGAACAATCACTGGAGTGTACAACAGTTGAAATGTGAATATGGCAATGAAGATGAGGATTGTTGATAATTGTTGTTGATTAGGTGTAAAGGTGTTGTTGGTAAGAGCGGGAATTGATGGATTTGTTGGGTTGGTTCTCAGGAGAGAGGCCTGGAGTGAATCAGTGAAGCTGTGTGGTAGCGCGAGTAAAGTGTCATTGTTAGGCTTGAAATCAGTACTGGGGTGACAAAGTCAATTTCCTTATCTGTGGTTTAACAGGCACAGCTCCCAGGCTCAGCCCTTTTTTTGTGATTTTTGTTGAGATTTGTTTTGTGAACCAGATGTGATGCTTAGAGCATCTGGTCCATACGCCCCTGAGCTTTTTTATTTTAGGTTTTGCTTTCTTAGCACACACATATCCGGCTGTGAAATATCTAGTGAAATGTATTTGCGAATCAGAAAGAGATCTTGATTAAAGTTGTATGACATAGAGTGGGTGGGAACATATTTTTCTTTTTCTATAGAAAATTAAACAATCTGTCTATATTTCTGAGATGAGGTACTATGTACATTATTTACATTATTCGGACTATTGTCCTCATCTTTGTCGCCACATTTATCACAACATTTCGGCCGTTGTACGCTCCGGCCTTCTTCAGGTGGTTGGAATGTCGAACTGAACCTTTTATTTCGCTCACTGCGGTAGACTGTTCTAGTTCCACGTGCCATGTTTGATGGATATCAGTTATCAGTTATCTCCTTGAGGACACATGGTACAGTGGATAAAGGCGTTGGTTAGATCCAGTGACAGGACCCAAAGAGTGTGAGTGGAGAACTTTCAGAGGGAAATTAACAGGAGATAACTGATAACTGACATCCATCAAAATAAATTAGATTGATTCATTGTTTTTTTTTATGGCTTATCAACCTTTTGCAGGATTTTTTTATTTTTTATTTAAAGCCAGAAAATATTTTTAAATTATGAGAATTTTTTTTTTAGTAAATAACTATTTATCATTACAAGCCTTAGTAATTAATCCATAGCTGGAGGAGAAGAGGTAGATTCATACCTTCCCCAAGTGTATTTGCTTGTAAGTTAATATAATGAGTCCGACTGTAACTGGAACTCAGCTGTCCGATTTCCAATTTTGATCTGTTATCCATTTCACCACCTGCACATCCAAGATTACAGCACCTGGTATTCCCAAGTGGTCACTTATCTAGGTACTGACCAGGTTCAATGTTGCTTAACTTTGGTGATTGTACAAGACCCAGTGATTCAACATGATATGGCTGTAAGCCTGGGTTAGTTAGATACAAAGAGATTAAAATATTGCATCCACAAAACTGATTTCTTTTTTTTTTTCAGTTGCCAAATTTATTCTGATGGACACAAAAACATTTAATATTTTGAAAATTTCTCATGGGCCACAGTGGGTAGTTTTGCAGACTGCATTTTGTGCAGGCCAACTTTCAGTGGTAGTCAGGATACAAAAAAATGTATGGACAGATAAAATAATAAAGACAATTGTTTCTCATATTTGGTTAAAGATTTTAAACTCATATATCAATAGTACAGTAGTGGAATTTCCACGTGTATTTTATAGCTGGGAAATTGCAAGGAACATAAAATTTAATTCATGGATAGGACAAATATTTAAATTTGTTTTTTGTCATTTTTTTGTTTTAGTTGTTTTTAATTATTCTTTGTATAAAGATTAAGCAACATTATTATGGGAATGAAGGTTTCAGCAATGAATTTATAGAAAAAAGCAAAATGGTGTTCATTATTGTAAATTAAACACCAATTGAATTAATGGGTGTAAGTTTTAAATGATACATAATTTTAAAAAGGTACGATTCTGATATAAATATGTTCCTTTAATTTTCTAAGCTTTTATTTTTCAATGAATTGAACGATTGAATAAGTGAGGACTTGATTTAAAGCCAGTTTTGGGACAAATGAAATACAGTGACGTGACCTCTTTAGAGAAAAACTTTTTTATCATTATACTTTTCCTTCTAATTTTTTGAACGTCTCACTTTAATTCAAACTGTTGCAAATTATATTTCTTGTCCATTCCTTTCACTATTTCTAATCATATATCAAATAATCTAAGAGATTTTCGTATCATCCGGCGATTTTCTCATTAATGCACTTTCTGCAAAGTTATCTCCCTTAGTAAAATTCACTTTTCACTCAAGAGTTATGTCTCTTGCATCTCGAAACATTTTAATGGAGTATGTCAAAATAATGCACCATATATAATTTCCAGAATCTTGCTATGTTTTGAATTACCTTTTAAGGAAATTAAGTTATTATATTTATTATTTATACAGGCAGTTAAAAATTACATAACTTGTATTTTATATAAGTACCTTCTATTTTAAATGAACTATATTTATCTTATATAAAATAATCATGTACACTAACCTTTGATATTTTTTTGACTTTTATTTTCAGTAAACATTCATTTATCTTCTGTTAATAGCTTAAGAGATTAGGAACTAACCATAAATATTTGGAGTAGACGAAAAAGTTCATAAAGAACTCAGTTCTAAAATAGGGAACTAATAGGAAGGTTTGAGTTGGTAGAACAGTTCGTAAAGAAAAACCATATTCTGAAATCCCTTTGAATATGTTACAAAGATTATGAACAAACAAATTGAAAAGTAAACTTTTTTTCTGCAGTAAAGTAGAGCTATATTTGCAATCCTTTAATATTTGTAAAATTTGTGCTTAAACTCCATTGTAATTTATACATTAATTTTTCTCCATATTTTTGATTGAGTTTATATTCTTTTGGTTATTTTGTACAACTCTAGTTCATTAAAAACAAAGGAGCTTATGTCATTGAATTAATGTTAATTCATTTTCAGGAACACTGGAATGTAAGTTGGAAAAGTATGAAGATTGTTAAGAGCAATGCATAAAAATAGTTGAACAAACAATATATTTCCTATTGAAGTTGGATACCAACATTTTATTGTCAATTCAATCTCAGCATACTTAACTAAACTTAGATTGTTGCTAGAAGGAAAGAGGAAATATATTAAGAGGTTCCATTTGTATGGATTTGGTATTCTCCCACTGTAATGGAAAACCAACAAATATTGATGATATCATGAGGTACTGTTGGGGAGACCTGAGTTACAGGTAATCATGCTTTAGCTCTGATGCAGTATTTGTTGGAGGCACTGTAACTGTTCTGACAGCATTAGTTGTATGAATCTATTTATTTAGGTAAAAACTAGTTTCAAATTCACTGTCATACTTAGTAATTTTGTTGAAATTTTCTGGATGTACAGGATATCCTCTAAGGAAGAAAACTGGAATCTATTCCCATGAATTGAATAAAATTGTTTGGTTCAAAATTCCAGGTTACTGAGTATGACATACAACTGAAGAATGCTGGAGAGACCAACAGCTGAAATGTTGTTGTTAGTGTAACAACCAAAACGAGCATGTTGGTCTGAATAGCAAAACATAATAGACTTAACTAGCAGTACACGTTTAAGTTACATGGATTCACTAATAATTTTTTAAAATGCTACTTTGTACTTTTCAACGCATGACCATTCCCAGATAGTTATAAGAAAAGTAACATAGTGTTACAAATACTGAAATGTCTCTAACAGGTCACGAAAATATGATTTAATCTCTCACTACAAACAACTGTCTTTATCTAAAATGACCACTCTCCATCCAATCCCTCTTTGTGTCACACTCACTTGTAGTTCAGGGGTAAATTTGTCCTCAACAGACTGTTAGGTCACAAAGCGTGATTTAACCCCTTACTACAAGCAACTGCCTTTATCCCCTTCTCCAATCCCTCATTGTGTCGCACTCTTTTGATCTCTACATCTCTCTCTCTATGTTTTACTCTCAGTATCTGTGGTATCAATTTTACCTCAGACTCTCATTTCTTTTATTATTATTATTATTATCATCATCATTGCTGATACTTTAAAAGGAATTATTATAACTAAATACCAGATTCTTCATCATCTCAAAATATGCCTCGACTTACTACTATCATTGCTGGAAACTACAGAAGAAAGATAAAACATTGAACTGAGGAACATGATCTTATGTGATCACTATTTTGATTTCTTTCTTTATACTCAGCTCTACTGCTAACTTGCTTTTTATATACATTAATGTTTTTTCTGCTATGTTATTATTATTTCTACCAGCTCTGTCAAAGGAATTCTGACAAAGTACCAGTGACATTTGTCGGTATCAACTGATTTATACTAAAATCTAAATATGTCTCAATACTCTCCTGTCATTTAACCAGCTGGAAACTACAAAAAAAGAAAAAAGGGAGACATAACTATAAGGAGATATACCGGTAATGATAAAAACACTGACCTAGGAAACAATGTTAAGGATGCAGAGAAATATGTCCATCATATGAAGTTAGCTAAAGAAGAATGACTAGTGGAAGGCTGGGTGTGTTTATATGTGAGTGCATTCAGTTTGACTGCTTGACACTGGTAGATACAACACTGATGGAATGCTGATTGAATTCACAGAATTTTAACCATAACAACATAATTACAAGATTTAAGGGATAAAGCTACATTATTTGATAGACTATGCAAAGGAGCATGGGAACAGGGTAACAGCAATTAATCATTTAAGATATTTCCCTATTGAGATTTCTTGCTTTGAATTCAGCTGTACTGCTAACTTGCTTTTTATATGCAATGAGGTTTTCTGCTATAGCTAAAGTTATTTTGTAATGTTTCTCTTAATGTAAACATGTTTTAAACATTATATACTTACATAGACAAAAAACATTTTTTTCTGAATGTACTGCTGAAATGTGGGATAATATCTAATGTCTTTTATGCTGTCAAATATGGTGATTTTCTTTTTGCTGTAAAGTATTATTTTATCAAAATGATAAAAATAGCCATTTCTCCTGTTTTAGTTCGACAAATTTCCAGAAGTGCACCTGGTAATTCTTCCCCATCGCCTCATACAAAACAGATTCGTTCTAAAGTTGGATCATTGGATAATGCGAGGCATACACCTGGTGGAGGAAATGTAAGTTTTTTCTTTTTGTTTTTTCTTTTAATAATAATTTTTCTTGTTATTTGTTTTTCAGATGATTGTACAAAAATGAAAATCTTTGGTTTCAATCCAATACTCTGCAGTATTGACTAAGCTAAATGAAACCCTCAACAAAATACATTAGGTCATATTCTATGCTACTATATGTCTACACTGGTTTGGAAACAGTATTACTTAATAATATAAACTTCACAGTGTCTTGGTTAAACATCTTGTATTGCAGGGTCTTCTTTCAGATAAGTTATATTAACTTTTGCTTCTCTAGGTTAAGTGCTGATGTGTTAACAATTACTGCTGAAAAAGTCTATCAAGTTTTAGATAAGAATGCTGAAGCTTGGGCTGTTGCTTTGTATGTCTCAAAGGCATTTGACAGGAGTTGGACTACTGGTCTTCTTCAAAAGTTGAATAAAGTTTTGAACTGATTCAGTCTTTCTTATCAAACCACAAAATGAAAGTTGTCTTGAATGGCCACTCTTCTAGATCTTTTTGCATAAATGCAGGTATTCACCAGGGCTCTATCCTTAGACCTATGTTGCTCCTAATTTTCATAAATGACCTTTCTGATGTCATCAGTTCTCAACTTGGCATCTATCCTGATGATACAACTATTTACACCTGTCTTAATAATAAGTCTGATTGGTTTGATAAGATCAAATTGCCAGCTGATCTCAAAAATGTCTAATGTTTTCAGCTGACACAAAGTGGAAGAGTATATTGAATCAATTTCTAACTTCGTGGCTAAGAAAGTTGGTTCACTGTCGTTGCTAGATAATTTTTTTCGCCAGAATCTATCTTACATGTTTATCAGTTTACCATTTGTCCTTGCTTTGACTATTGCTGCCACATCTGGTCTGGTGCTCCTGCTATATATTTAGAAATTCTTGATAAAATCCAACGAATCTGCAATGTTATTGGTCCTGACATGGCATCTCCACTTCAGTCACTTTTTCACCTTTCTAATGTGACTTCTCTGTGTTTTTTCTATAAATACTTTCATGGTAATTGTTCTGATGAACCTTCCACTATGGTGTGTAGACTTAACGAATTTAAGCACAGTACTAGATTGGCATCAAGGTCTCATCATTTTACAGTTGAAATTGCAAGAGATGTGACCATAAATTCTATGCTAACTTTCTATTGCACTTTTCGCTTGTGGAAATCACTTCTGGCTTCTTCTGTCAACTTTGATCTTCAAAAATTTAATGGCAATGTCAATCCTTATCTTATGTCTTCTTAATTCTTGTTTTTTTATTGTCCACTCTCCTTAACAGTAGTTTTTCTCATATTCTCTAATACTCAGTAACCCCTTGTGTCCTAGTGGCTTTATTGCCTTTGATCTTCACAAATTTAAATGCAATGTCAATCATTATCTTATGTTTTCTTAATTGTTCTTTTATTGTCCTCTCTATTTAATAGTAGTTTTTCTTATATTCTCTTAACACTTAGTAACAGCTTGCATCTTAGTGGCTTTATTGCCTTACTTCTGAAATGATTTAGAATGTCTTGAAATATGCTCACATTAGTTCTCAAAAGGATTTTTTATAACATGCAATCATAATAACATTAATTTCTTTTAATGTTATTGAACAATTTTCAATCTGAAGGCTCTCTGTCTCTTTTACAGTTTTCAGTTATTAATCTGAATTTACATTTTTGCATGCTGTAGAATAATTGGTCTGGTTTAAATGGAATTGATAAAATTTTCAATGAACAATAAGAAGCAGAAAAAAAGAACAGGCAAGATAATACTGAGCAAACTATGTCAAAACTAAGCAAAGCAACAGTAATAAGGCCAAATGTTTACAATTCACAAAGTAAAAATTGTGTCCACATGCAAAAGGGATACAGTCAAATAGTTACAGCATTCTGACATGAAGGCAAGTAAGAAATAAAATGTAGCAGATGAAATTGAGAATTGTCCATTTTTTTTATTGGTTAGGAGGAAATCCCAGCATGTAAGATTTGTCTATAAATTTGGGGAAGGTGGATGTTCTTATCAGTCATTCTAAAGAGATTGGAACCAACATATACATGCATATGTTGACTTCCTTTTGCTGTTTGACCAACAGAAAAATAAAAAAAAGATTATCAAAATTTCACTATAGATCATTAGTTGATACAAAAAGTTTGTATTTTTGTTGCATTGTATTGATATGTATTGCTTTATTTCACACACTAAAGCCACCTACCAAAGCAGCCTCTTCCAGACATTCGAAGAAGACAGCATTGTCTAAGGATTCTTCCAAGAAGAAAAAGACCAAGGTTGGAATTCACTTATTTACCCACTGCTATCTGATATTCCAACCGCTTTGAACCGTATCTATGAACAGATGTGGTTCCTGTCAAAAGCACTCAACTCCAACCCCATGGTGTACACAGCACAATGTAAAGTTTCATTGTTTTGTAGATTTAATCACAACCAAATTATTACAGTTACTTAGAGAATATGTTCACAAAAGAAAGAAAGGAATTGCGTTATACTATTTGTTTTAAAATGTTGTAGATCTGACAAAAGGTTTGATTATGTACTGAAATAAAAATATATTCAAACCTATTATTAATTTTTGACTCGTACATCATCTTTTATCTTAATTTTTAGTTGTTTTTATTTCAATTTTACTCATGCACTCAGTTCTATGGCAGTGAGTAGACAGTGCAAATCAAATAAAAGACAAGCTCTCTTAGTCAATTACAGCAGGTAGAAGTTGAACTTGTACTCTATATGTAAAGGGGATGTGAGTTTAAATCTCACAAAGTGCTTCTCCTTTATTTCCAATTTGCACTATTCACTCACTAATATAGAATCAACGGCTTAAGTTGTAATAAAATTGACCAGAAATTAAGATTAAAAGAAAAAATATGAGTGAAAAATTAGTAATCATTTTTGATAATGCTTCATCTATCTAATAAAACTAATACTGATATATTTGTCTTACAGCCATTTTAAGTTTTTCTTTTAAATATTTGTATGTTTTTAAAACATAATTATTTCTAATTACTGTGGTTGCTGTTAGGGATATGAAATTTGTGAATTTTATAATTGAACACAAACACAAATAATACATGTGAGATAATCATCATCCAAATATAGTAACTTTTTTTTTTTTCAGCAGAGAATAAAAAATCATCATTCACTCACGCTGACATAAGATGTCTCTTACTACTTTGTCCCAACACTATTCTGTGGGCACAGACACACATGCATGTATATTTAAATAATCTTGTCTTCAGTATGAATTTCAGCCAAATTATTATTAACCCATTAACTCCAGTAATTGAGCTGCTTGATTAGCCTGCTGAAATTCCTGTCATCTGCAGTTAATAGGTCAATAAAATGACGATGAGATTCCTTTGCTGTTTTCTCAGAGGATTCAATTATCGACATATAATTTTTAAAAATAAGCTACATCCTTCAAGTTACAAGGTACATAAAAAAAAAAAACAAATTTAAAAAGGCTCATTGTTACCCAACCTACCAAGTCAGTTTACCAATAAGTTTCTAGCTATCTACTCATGTTCAATTATTGCGCAACAGGCTTCCAGAATAACAGTTTTCACCATTATACCTGAACTGTCCTTAGAAAATTTGAAACCATGACAAAGGCAGAATGAATTGGTTTTTTGTTTTTTAATTTTATCGTTTATAGATGTTAGTAGCAAAATAATAATGCCTTTAAAATGTTTATAAAAATCACGGCTTTATTTTTAATGAAACATTTTGACTAAATCATCTTTAAGAATTTTATATGGAAATGTTCTTATTAATTTTTGTGTTTAACAATGTAATGTTTATCAGTCTTTAAGAGTTCAGGTATTCATTTTCTATAAAAAGAATATCAGTGTATTCCAACTATTCTCAATCCAAAAAAGTTCATTTACAATTAGGCACTTTGCATTGTAACTTAATTTTCCATGTTTGTTTATGATTTTTTAAATTCTCTCTTGTATTTTCATTGAGTTTATGATAAAACATAAGACAAATGTTGTTTGTTAAGGGTTCATTCAAATTTTCCAACCAAAAATTGATGAAAAACAAACTTTTCTTGCTTAGTTTATTAAAGCAAAATTAGTTCTTCTAATCAGATTCTAATGTTTTTCACATTTAGAGATAAATAATAAAAATATCTACATTTAAATTCTTCAACCTTCATTTTTCATTCAGGTTTTATTCAGCATTTTAAAATGTGCTTAAATTATCTTTGTGTTTATATTTGTATGCATGAATTTATCAAAGGCCAGTAAATCTGCTGGTGAAAAGTAAGAGTTTTCTTTGTTTTTTTTCTTTTAGAATCTGATAGAGTTTTAATAATAAAAAAAAAACTTTGTATTGTCTCAGCCTCATTCTAAAAAAACCCTAACCAAACTTCTGTTCTATCATCTCCTGGGGGTGGGCGTGGGTGTGACAATGTTAATCTTGAGCTGAATTACACAAGTTTTTGTAATGCTGTACTGGAATAGCTTTGCAATCTTTACAGTGGCTAATTAATCCAATGAGCCTACATAAGATTTTTGCTTAAAGCTTGGCAAATCTGCTTCTGAGAATCAAAGAATGATTTTGGCTTTTGGTGAACATTCTTTAAGTTGAACACAAATTTTTGAGTTTCATTTTACAGTTAGTTAAATGTTGATTCAGGATGATGTGAGTTCAAGACAACTAATCTCCAGCAAAATGCCAGAAAATATAGAAAAAACAAAAATGTCTGTCTTTGTCTACATTTGCAAGGGGACTATTCCAAAGGGAATAATGATCATATTTAAATAATATATGAAATGTATTATTTACTGGAGTATTAGTTTAATTTTTCTTTTTTCTTTATGGCTTAGTCTAGGAACTTTTCTTATATAAATAGTTTACCATACATTGGTGTTTTGCATGTTAAATAAAGAAACATCACTTATCAGATCTTTTAGAAGATGGGAAATAATAAATATGGAAATTTTGCAGCAATAATCAATCAAAATTTTTCAAACAAACACCCTGATAAGAGAATTGCTGTTAATACATCGTATCTTTAGGTGCAATATGAATCTTCTATTAAATGTTCCCCATTTTCTCCAGGTGTGCTCTGCTCTGTTTTCAGACTTTGAGAAAATCACATGACAAAATGCAACTAAAGGAAATATCCTAATTTAATGCATTAATACTCCCCACTTCCCCAAAAGAGAAGCTACTAAACAAAATGAGGGTGAGACCAAGACAGACCACAGAGACTTGTGCACAAATTATACTTGAGCTCAATCATCAAGATGAGAGGCAAACTAAATTGAAGTACTGCTTTGTAAATTCCCAGAATTTATAACATTGTTGTATTTAATGTTGTCATATACAGAACTTGATAAAGGTGTCCTGACTGTGATGCACTTGTTGTTAGTTACTGGGTTCTGAAGTATAGTTTTTGCTATCCACAGTATGTATAGTCTATATGTAATAATATCTATTTCAGTTTATTTCATCAAGCTGTATATTGAATCGGGCCAAGACAAGGATCACTTTAAACATTATTTTCAATGAATAATCATTTTTAGTGGACACTTCATTTATTTATTAAACAGCATATATATATATATATATATATATATATATATATATATATATATATATATTTTTTTTTTTTTCTATTGGCTTGAATATTCAAGAAATCTTATTAAAGAAAATATGTGTTCCCTGGCAGAATTCAAACCTGCATCTCTCTCTGGCCAGAGGTAAACTGTCATTAGATCTGGCGTGTTTTAACCGATTCAGCCATGAAGGAGCCTCATCAATCAAGTAAAGTCTGAAATGTGCCTTTAAGCAAGATCCTTGAATTAAATTCTTCAAAATTTTCATGTCTGTTCAGTTTCATATCCAATCGTAAACAAAGTAATCTTCTAAATCCGACAGATTTTTATCACTTTAATTACTTTATCTTATTTGCCTTATTTTTAATGGATACTCATATTTGAGTGGATACATAACTTATTTATTAAAAAGTATAGATCCATGGGAGACAGGTTTGAATCCTGCCAGAAAGTGCATATTTTTTTTTAAATAAGATTTTTCAAATATTCAGGCTGGCAGATGAAAATAAATATAATAGTTAATAAATAAATGGTGCATCCATTCAAATATGAGTATCCATTAAAAATAATGCTTAAAGTGATAAAAATCTATTGGATTAATAAATAAAATCTATTAACCTTACAATATATATATATATATATATATATATATATATATATATATATATATATATGAATTGTATGATGAAGTAGAAAAATTTTACTTGTGATGTGTTTCGTCCTTCAGGACTTCATTAGACTAAATTTATTATGTTGGTAGGACTACCCAGCCACACAACAGAAGAGTACTGGGAATTTAAAAGTTTTTTTTTTTGATCTAGCCAAATTCATTTAAAGTCTTTTTCTTTTTCTTTCCATCACTTTTGTAAGTAGGTATTCCACATTGTGATATTAGAAGATCTGCCAGGCACGGTGAAATGTTGTAAGATCCAGGGCGCAAATTTACTGTAGATGACCTTGTGATTAAAACACTCTCTAGACATTTACATCATAGTGAATGATTTTCTCTTTGATCATGGTAGCATTTTTTTATGTCAAAATTGTGATCAGTCTTGTTACGGTGGGCAACCAATGCATTTGATATATTATTTTGTAAAATGTCCCTTTTGTGTTTATATGATCTTTTATTTAGATTCTTTGAGGTTTCTTCTATGTATATTTGTGACAGTTATTACAGGTGATGGCATAAACTTCTCTTCAAAACAAAAGGCCCATAAAATATTCCAAAACAAAAAAAACAGCCTCTCCTGAGAAACCCAATAAATCAAAAAAAAATATATTATCCTACCTACTAACTCTGTCACATCTACAATTGAAAAGAATCTATCTAAATTCAACATAAAAGTTGTTACTACTACATCCAAAACAACTTAGTCAATACTAAACAAAACAATAAGCTAAAACCAGAAGGAGGAGTTTACTCCATCACCTGTAATAATTGTCACAAATATACATAGAAGAAACCTCAAAGAATCTAAATATAAGATTATATGAACACAAAAGGGACATTTTACAAAATAATATATTAAATGCATTGGTTGCCCACTGTAACAAGACTGACCACAATTTTGACATAAAAAATGCTATCATGATCAAAGGAAAAAATAATTCACTATGACGTAAATATCTAGAGAGTGCCTTAAATCACAAGGTCTTCTACAGTAAACTTGCATCCTGGTTCTTATAACATTTCACCATTCCTGGCAGTTCTAATATCATAGTGTAGAATACCTACTTACAAAAGTGATGGAAACAAAAAGAAAAAAACTGTAAATGAATTCAGCTGATTAACAAAATTCTAGAATTTTCAGCAGCCCTCTGTTATGTGCATGTGTAGTCCTACCAACATAATAAATTTAGACTGCTGAAGTTCTGAAAGATGAAACATGTCACAAGTAAATTTTTTTCACTTTGTCATACAATTTCCACGATATTGTTCTTGATATATAAAAATATATACATTGTTATCTCACATATATATATATATATATATATATATATATATATATATGAGAGAGAGTGTGTGCCTGGCCCTGACAAGTCTATATATTTACTCTGGTCATGCCCACTCAAATATTTAGTCTGGTTGTGAACAGGTGACAGACACACCTGGTCAAAATCTTAAGACCAGATACAAAAGGGTCAAAAAATATAAAATACTGTTACTTTAATGGAAATATATTTGCAAAGCATTTAATTAGAAAACATAGTTTATCAACAAGTGAAAATTTTAAGCTTTTAATTGATTAATTTAAACAAACATTGAAAAAGTATTTTGTCAATTATTTTGGTTTAAGTAAAATATCAACATTGATCTTATTACTTTTTTTTTTATTTTTTAAATTTTCAAACCCTTTTCCATGTATGAATGACAAGAAAATTTTTGAATTCTAATGTTTTTTTTCCTGAATTCATATATCATTAAATTAATTTGGATATTTTTTGGACAAAATGTTGCTATTGTTTTAAAAATTCAATACGTTATTCAGTTCCTCATAATGTACATTTTCAAAACTAGCTAAAAGGCATGTTTAATTTTCTAAAGACAATAACAGCAGGATTTAATTGCTTTTTTTTCTTAATATGGAGTGATGAAATGAAAGGCATTTGTATATAGTGATTCTTATTGTCTTATTGAATTTTCCAGGTTAAAATTATTAATCGAAAGGAAAAATATGATGCAGTCCAAAGTAAGATTGGTTCGAAAGATAATATAACACATAAACCAGGTAAGAAGCATTTTTAATAAATCAGAAGAATATGTTATCTTGGGTATTCACCTTTACAGAGACATATATGGGAAAAGGATTGTTAAGTTTTTATATATCGAGGACAATTTTATGGAAAAATATATAACAAAATGAAAAAAGTTTTTCATGACATGTTTCATCCTTTAGAACTTCATTGGACTAAAGTGATGTTTATGTTGAATGCTGTGAAGATTAAAGTTTTCTTTTCTTTTTTTAAAAAATATGTTTTGAGTATATAGTCTAGCAGAGTTCTTTTTTTCCCTTTTGTTCATGGTTTCATCACTTTTGTTATTAAATATCCCACATTGTTATAATAGAAGATTTGCCAACTCTACCCACTAACTATATGACAACTACAATTGAAAAGAATTTAAGCTCAGCCTAAAATTTGTTACAACTACTTCTAATACAATAAAAGACAAAACCAAACAGGAAGCTAAAACTTGAAGGGGAAATTTACTCTATCACTGTAATGATTGTCACAAGGAATATATAGGAGAAACATCAAGCAATTTAAATAAAATATTATATGAATACAAAAGGGATCTTTTACAAAACAACACACTGAATCCATTAGTTGCTCACCATTATGAGTCTGGAAATAATTTTGATTTAAAAAATGCTACTTTAATTAAAAGAAAAAACAATTTATTGAGATGAAAATATATAGAAAGTACTTTAATTGCTAGATCATCCACAGCAAGTTTACATCCAGATTCTTACATGTCACCTTTCTTAGCAGATCTTTTATTATCACAATGTGGGATATTTAATAACAAAAGTGATGGAAACATGAACAAAATGAATAAAAAGCTTAATGAAATCATCTAGACTAAATGCCAAAAGCATATATTTAAAAAAAAAAAAATTAATTTAAAATTCTCAGCATCCATTTTTCCTTCATGCCCATGTGTAGTCACATCAATGTAAACATCACTTTAGTCTGATGAGGTCCTAAAGGATGAAGTATCACACAAAAAAAACTTTTCCTCTTCTTTCCCTCATTATATATATATATATATATATATATATATATATATATATATACAATTTTTTTTTAATCGGAGTCACCCCAAGCAAGGCAGTACAGCCACTGAAAATATATAGAAAGTACTTTAATTGCTAGATCATCCACAGCAAGTTTACATCCAGATTCTTACATGTCACCTTTCTTAGCAGATCTTTTATTATCACAATGTGGGATATTTAATAACAAAAGTGATGGAAACATGAACAAAATGAATAAAAAGCTTAATGAAATCATCTAGACTAAATGCCAAAAGCATATATTTAAAAAGAAAAAAAATTAATTTAAAATTCTCAGCATCCATTTTTCCTTCATGCCCATGTGTAGTCACATCAATGTAAACATCACTTTAGTCTGATGAGGTCCTAAAGGATGAAGTATCACACAAAAAAAAACTTTTCCTCTTCTTTCCCTCATTATATATATATATATATATATATATATATATATATATATATATAATTTTTTTTAATCGGAGTCACCCCAAGCAAGGCAGTACAGCCACTGACATACAAGGGGTTACAGGGTGTGGAGGAATAGAAACATTAGTAATGAGTAGATGGAGGAAATAATCAGGAGGGCAGTAGATAGTGATTGACATTGCATTTAATTTTTGCAGATTTAAGTTGGCTGTAAAGCATGGAGCTGATAGAGAGTTTCACATGTGAGAAAAGAAATTGTTAGCACAGAAGTTATGGCTAAATCTAGCTAGCTCAACTGTAAATTGATGCGATCTCGCCTCTAGTCTAATATTGTGCTTAAATTCATACAATCTAGGTACCATAGCAAAAAGCTATTCTGAACAATTACCATGATAGTATTTATAAAAAAGGCACAGAGAAGCAAACTTATGATGGTGGGTAAGTGTCTGAAGCAGAGCCACCAGATCAGGAGCAATGATATTGCTGATTCTTCTTTTGATCTTATCAAGGAGCTCCAGGTTATGACAGCAATATTCTAAGCATGGGTGAATGATAGACATAGATATGCAAGATAGATTCTGGAGAGAAGAATTACCTTGCCCAACACAGTGAACTGACTTTCTTAGCAGCTGATCTAGCAATGGATTCAATATAGTCTTCCCACTACATGTCAGCTGGGAACATTAGCCTAAGAACACGTATTTGGTCACTTTCCTGGAGGACAGCATCAGCCATGCTGATGGAAAGCAGAGAGGGATCTCTCAGATGATTAACAGCAAGAAGTTTAGTTTTGGAGGTGTTAAAATTGGGACGCCATCTTTTGCTCCAGTTAATGACAGTTATAAGGTCGTTTTGTACACCAACTGCTGTTTTGACCTAGTCAGACTGATCAGCCTTACTATTGAGGCAGGAGTAAATGGTAGTGCTGTTAGTTTAGATGCCAAGTTGAGAGCTGATGTCATAGGGAAGGTTGTTAATGAAGGTTAAAAGCAGCATAGGACCAAGGATAGAGCCCTGTTGGACATCTGTGTAAGTACGAATGCATATAAGACGAGTGGTTGTTAGGGACAACTTCCATTTCATGATTTGATAGGAATGATTGGACCAGCTCAAAAACATGCTTGGAGATACCGTAACTTTTCAGCTTCAAAGGCTTTCGAGATGTCCAATGCAACAGTCTGGGCATCACTGTTTTTATCTAGAGCTTGATAGACTCTTACCACAATTATCATCAGTATATCAGCAGTTGACCTGGAGAAACAAAAACCATATTGCTTGTCAGAGAAAAGACCCTGTGATGAGAGATGATGAACCAATTCAGCATTAATTAGGGCCTCTAAGAGTTTCCCAAAAAGAGGCAGAAGGCTAATAGGCTGATAGTTGGAAGGGTTGGATGGTTCACCAGAGTTCTTAAAAACTGGAACAACAGATGATGACTTGCAGGAAAGCAGGAGGCAGCGAGGCATTTATTATACAGTTTAGAGAGATCAGAAGCCAGTTTGGGAGCACACTTCTTAATTACAAGGATACTGTCAGGTCCATATCCTTTGTGCAGATCAAGGTTAAATAGCAAAAACCATGGAAAATGTTATATGCATATCACTCAACAGAGAAATGCGAAGTTAGGCAGGTATGCTCCAGATGAGTCAAGAGTAGAGTTTGAGGAGAATGTACAGGCAAAGCATTCGACTTTATCAGCAGAGGATGATAACACTTCAAATAAATTTAATTATTTAATACCCTATTACACAGATGCCAGTAGTCATGAGAGCCAAAGTTTTTAGAGGCTATGCAGTGTCTCGTTCTCTCAACAAACAGGGACTTAGCTTCTTCAAGGACTTGCTTACATTGGTTATGAGCAGTAGCAAATAGGTCCCTGTTATAATGAGAGCTGTCATGCTGATATAGTCAGAAATAGTGATTCCTGTGTGCTATGCTGGCTGTGCATACTGGTATTTCTGAGAAGGGATGAAAGCTTCCATGCTGGCTTTGACCCAAGAAGAAACCTCAATGGTGAAATTTTCAATTGGGAGGTTGAAGATGTCAGTCCACAAGGTGTCATGAAGAAAATCCTGGAATGAGTCCCAATCAGCAGGAAGAGGTCTTATGGATAGAGGGTTCCTGTTTAATGGATGCTTGGAAGGAGATATCAATAGGTGCCACAGAGTGGTCCAAATTACCAAGAGGGCAGTATTGCAAGAGCGATAAGAGGAGATAAGAAATAAATCCAGTAGAGAACCCTGCTGCTCAGTTTGTCTAGGTAAATGAGTAGGAAAGTCCATGATTTGAGTGAGGGATTGGGCAATGGAAAAATTTAATGTCTGTATACCTTTAGAATGTTTCAGCCATATATTGTTGTGAGCATTAAAGTTACCGAAGTTAAATATGTTTGCAAATGGATGGAGAGAAAGTGACTTTTCTATAAATCTGAGATGTGTAACAACTATTATGAGATCAGTAGTAATTAATTCTACTTGAGTCTTATATCAGTTGTTGCTTTCACATACACATTTCATATATACTAATTGTGTGTGACAAATATTATGGAACAAAGGTAAAATTAATTAGTGACTGTCCTGTTAGAGTTGTTACAGTTTCATACACATTTTATACACTAAATGTATCAATTATTATGGGACAGAGATTATTATATTACTTCGGGGCAATAATTGTTGTATACTTGTTTACTGAAGTAGAATTAATTATTATCTCTGTCCCGTAAGTATTGAGACAAATACATACATATTTAACACTCTAAATGTATCAATTATTATGGAACATTATTTTTTCTTGTGTCTAAGATGAAATAATGTCTTTGCTAGCCATTGAATTATGAAAAGTAATATCTACAGTTTTCATGTTCCCAACTATTTATTCATTCTATACTTTATTAATTTATATTTTCATGTATATATTCATGATGTTTATATAGGTAAATCTTTGGAACTTTCAAATCTTATTATTGAAAGAAATGAAGTGTTAATATGAATCGAAAGTAATTAAATAATTAAAATGATTGTAATTTTTTCGTCTTTTTGCAGGAGGCGGAAATATAAAGATTGAAAATAAACGCTTATCATTTTTAGAAACTGCAAAACCCAAAGTTGGTTCTTTAGACAAAGTAGATCACAAGCCAGGTGGTGGAGATAAAAAAGTGAGTCAGCATTTTATGTTTAATTAAGAAATGTCTATTTCACAAAGGCAGCAATTTTGAAAATTTAAACATTTAAAGAAATTATTCTTATGCTTAAGAGAAAAAAACATCTTGTATAATTCCATAATTTTTTTAAAATGTGTAAAACTTAAATTACTTTTGGTTCTGATTTGTCTTGTTTTGTGAAACCAGTAACCATTTGAATGGTCTTGAGAGTTACTTTCAGTGCAAAAAGATTTTTAATCAATTATTGTTAAAACAGATTTAATTTAATTGACTTTAAAAATGCATTCAGTGGGTAAGAATTAAAGTATAGCATGTTGCTCACATTCTACATATTATATGTGGATCGCTGATTAGAAAGATACTTGACAAAATTCTTACTTTATTAATGTGTGATCTTTTTCAATTAGTTTTTTTTTTTAACACTGTCCAATGGTGGTTTCTTGGTAGATAAAAATAATAATTGTAACATTTAGAATATATTATGAATTTCATTCTTAATTTCTGAACAGATCCTTGGATTTAAAAAAAATTGTCTTGTCATAATTGTTATGTTTTTTTTTTAGGTTTACGCTAATGGAAATAAAGGAGAAAAAAAATGGGAATAATTCCATGCTATAAATATATATATATATATATATATATATATATATATATATATATATATATATATAATGCATCAATAATAGATTTAATTGAATTTTGACAAACTTGAAAGTTTTGCATACACAACACTCATCAGGGTCAGATAAATTTATAGATTGATCTAACTTTGATGAGTGTTATATGGACGGAACTTTGAAGTCACTTGAAAGATCAGTGAAATGAACCTTATTAGTGACTATTGGCCCTTTAGTATTTTTTTGAGCACTTGTTAAAAATCCTGCTCACCTGGAAATATGTTAAATTCTAGTAATTTTATATATTTGGATTAGTGTTTTATATATATCGCATATCTGAACATCTGAAAATCAAACCCCTATGAAAACTGAATATTTTTAGTATGGAGTTTGGCACGCAAAAAGCTTACCTACTTGACTGATGCCACTAAGGTATGATGTGGTAACAGTTGTCATGATCATCTTGGCTGAACGATCTGAGCCTGCCAAACATCAGTTGTTGTCAAGCACTCATATTGGGTAGATATGATTGTGTTGTTTGCTGATGTTTTTTTGTTTTGTAATTTTTGTGACTTTATACAGTGAAAATGTCTAAGAATTGCAGATGTCCTCATGGATAACAGTAAGAAAAAGAAACATTCTTCGTTATGAATAACTCAAAAAGTAGAGCTTATTTAGAAGCTTGATCGCTGTGTTCCTGTGTCGTGTCTGACTGAGGAATATGGTGTTGGAAATTACCAATATATATGATTTAAAGAAACAGAAAGACAAGTTACTTAAATTTTATAGTGAAAGTGATGACCATAAACTAATGAACAATAGGAAAACACTAAATATAACAAAATAAACTACAATACCTACTGTCTGTAGTTTTTCTTTACCCCACTCTTTGGAAACTATGTTATGCTACTGTTAGTTAAGTGACAGTATTGAGTGATAGAGAGGCAGGCATGGTACGTATATTTTACTGAATGATGGAAAGACACAAGATATATTTTAGTTTATTGTTTGATGCTGTTCATTTTTAAGTTCTACAAGGCATTTTTTGTCTGAAATAAATAACATTTATTCATTACCTATGGTCTTAATTATCCCTCTATTTCATTTATAAGTATATTATTCTATAAATAAACTGTAAGAATATATTTATTTTTTTTTATCTCTTGTAGTATGACTATTCATATGTTTTTGCTGCAATATTGTTTGAATTATGAAAAAATTGGAAAACTGAAACATAACTGGCCCTAAGGTTTCAGATATGCGATTATGTACATATGTGTGTATATATATATATATATATATATATATATATATATATATATATATATATATATATATATATATATATATATATATATATATATACCATTTATGTCTTTATTCTTTTGCTCAGGTTGCTGTAATTCTTAATTTGTGAAGAGCTAATTTTTCCTAGAAGTGGTGTTAGAATTTTTGCTGTACTTTTCACTGATCTATGGAGAACACTTTTCTCTTTGCTTTGGTCAAACAATGTTTGTGATTGAGTTAATCTCAGTATCACATCAGTCTATTTTGCCTGAAATTGACAAAAGCAGGAAAAATAATATTTGTATCGTGAGAAGAAGTGTTACTTAAAAAAAAAAAAAACACTGACCTGATGTGTGAAGATGTGCTATTTGGAAACCAATGAAAAAAAAATTTTTAACAGCTTATGAAAGCCGAAAGTATACAGACATTGGATAATTTATATTTTAAACTTGCACTGGGTACTAGGAAAATGGTCCAAAATTTTGAAGAAATAGTTAAAAAAAAAATCCTTAACAAGGAACTTTCATTTTCCTGTAAACAATTAGTTTTCCTTTGTGTTCAAAGGACAAGCATTTTATTGTGTAAATGCTTGGCTATTTTTTCGCAGATACTTAAATCAAAAATTGAAAAAGTATATCAACATGGTGCTTTACTGTAAAAGAAAAAAATACAATATTTGCAGATATACTAAAAAGTTTTCATATATTTTATTCTTGTCTCTAAATTGATTTAATGTACAATTCTATATTTTGAAGAAATCACTAATAAATTAGATATTGATTTTTATTTTTAAATTTATAATAATTTTAAATTTTATAATAAACTGGAAATTGGCTCCAAGAAAAAGAATCTGATTTGAATTTAAACAAAAATCCTTTATTAATTTCTAATATTCTGATTTATCATATCTAGGTTACATTTTCTCTGATATATTTTGAAAGTAAACTTTAAAAAAAAGGAGCCTTTTGCTACTGGTTGTTTTCAGTCCAGTGATATACTTCCTGAATGACTATTCAGGTTCCTCTTGCTCTTCTCTTTTGCTTCCAGTTGCCTGCACTTTGTATCCATATCACAATCACTGCAATTGTAGAATGCATTTGCACACTTTCAACTGAATATCTTGCACAATTATATCTTATTTCTATTAGAGTTGTGAAAAGAAGAGTGTATTCGTGCAAAACATATTCTAGATTTAAAAAATAAAGAAAAAACTGTTTTGAAGCCTTGATTATTTGCCTTTCAACTCTCAAAGTACTGTACAAATAAATACGAGTGCAAATATTTTACCAGGAGGTTTGTTATTCAGCTTGTATCATTTTGGGAGCTGTTCCAGGATAACTAACAGATTGTGCTCTAATGGATTACTTTCTGTCTACCACTATTGGTGAGAAGAGGAAATGATAATAAATTATTTAAAAATGTATATAACACTTTATTGAGCAAATGCTTGCTGGCTGTAACTTGATGTATTTCCTGAGTGCAAGAAGATCCTTGTGTATATCTGCTCGTCAAGTTATTTTAAATGTTGTGACGAGAAGTATTTTCTTTTATTGAAAAATCAGTCCAGAAGTGATAAAGACTTTGGATTGAGATGTATTGTTATGAAATTAGTTTACTAGCCTTCTCCTTTTGTATCAGATTACTGATGAAAAAATTGAGTGGGAGTGCAGAGCCAAAATTGGCTCCAAAGACAACCTTACTTATAAACCTGGTGGTGGTGACAAGAAG